TTCTAATCTGACAATTTTGAACAGTTCTAATAGACATGTGTATTTGTACAGGTTGTGGACGGTAAGAAGGCCGTTCTTGTTAAACAACGGCTTTGTATGCTCTTTTTCAAAGAATTCCCTTCCTAGGATTTGTTCATCTATACAACGTGTTCTGGCACATGTTCTAAACTTATCTAGATATGCTTCAAGGTCACCAAATAGTATTCTGATACATTTTTTCTGAGTGATGAAGATAGGTTGAAGCATATTGTTACTCGACCCACCCCATACCGATATTCCAAATCTTAGGTGAGACTCAAATAACGTGTGGTACAATTCTTTATGGTGTTTTTTCGGGATAACATGTCGTATTCTACTGAGTCTTCCGATCTCACATCTAAGTTTCGAGTTGAGGGCTCTTATTTGAACATCCCATTTTAGCTTTTCGTCAATAATAACACCTAAAAACTTGGTCTCTTTAACTTGCTTTATTACCGTATTATTCAGAGTTAGTATGTATTCTGATTCGTTATCTGCCTCATTATCAGTAGCTGTACGTGACGGCTTGAAGTGAATGTAGCAGCATTTCTTTATATTTATATAGTTATCAGTCCCCGATTTATTGACTATGTGGTATGCTGGAACAGTATCAGTGATCGAGTAAGCTTTTTGGACCTAGAACTCCCTACAAAATCTGGAAAATTTATCAAATGTAGGGTGGTCAATGTATATGGGCCACACAAGAAACTTGCAGAAAATGATCAACAACTGTTGATTAATTTTTACGGCCAAGTTAAGTAAGTAAGTAAGTAAGTAAGTAAATATTATGACATTACATCATCACAAGTGTCTAAAAAAATATCATTGCACTAAATAGAAAAATAATTCAAATAGATATATTCTTCCATCAACATTAATAATTTATTAAATTCAATTTTATTAATTAATAAAATCTAATGCATTATATATAAATAATTAATTAAAACTTCCCAGTGGAATAAAGATTTATAAAACGTTTCTTTGCCACAAAAGGATGAAACCAAAGATATTCATTATGTGTCTCCTTATTGCTTAAATAACTGGGTCCTTCAATTTTCCCTAAAACTTCGTTCGAAACATTCCAAAAATAAAAATCATTTACACTGTTTTTAGAAATCATTTCTTTCTTAAATCCTTCCAACCTAACTTTAAAGCTTAAAACTGTCGAGCAGTTCTTGACATCTGAAGGGAGTTTGTTCCAGTAAGGAATGACTCGCTCCGGAAGAAAAGAAGACTGGAGATTCTTGACTTTAGTTACACTCTTACTACACCTATTGGTTGAAACTAGATTAAGACCAGATCTGCTCATTCTGAACAAACCCGATCCATATTCAGTCAAACCACTAGTTACTTTAAAAGCTTCAATAAGGTCCCCACGTATTCGCCGCTCTGCCAGCGTTGTCAAATTGAGGATATCCAATCTACGGCTGTATGGAAGAGTACCCACCTCATCAATAAGACGGGTAAACCGCCTCTGGACGCTCTCCAGCTCCAAAACAGTCCCCCAACTTCCATGAGCCGCAACTGGATTCCACAATTGGACACAATACTCAAGATGAGGTCTTATCAAAGCTTTATAAATAGCTATCATTACAACTTTTTCTCTAATAACTAAGTTCCTTACAATCCAGCAGATCATACGATTTGCTTTAGAAATACATGCTTTTATCTGTTCATTCCAAAGCAAGGAGCTATGGGTAATAACCCCCAAATCTTTTTCCTGTGCAGATACTTCTAGTTCTACTCCATTTACAATATAATTCGAGTTAGGATTATTATTCAGATTAATATGGACTACTTTACACTTGGCAGGATTGAAGTTTAAGTGCCAAATACTCTCCCAAATTTCGAGTTCTAAAATATCATCAGATACACTTTTATGGTTAGCTGCATTACAAACTAACTTGAGATCATCTGCAAATAATTTAATCTTATTTTTAACATTGTCAGGTAAATCGTTTATATAAAGAATAAATAACAAAGGACCTAATACTGACCCCTGGGGAACACCAGATAATACGTGTTTCACCTCAGACCATTGTCCTTCTACACAAACCCTCATGGTTCTGTCTGTCAGAAAGTCTTTTATAACATCTAAAACTTTTCCCTTGACCCCAAACCCCTCCAATTTAGATAGAAGTCTAAAGTGGGGGACTGTATCGAAAGCCTTACTAAAATCAAAATACAAAAGATCAACAGGAGCACCTTCGTCTAAAATATCAAGAATATTATCAAATGTCTCTAAGAGATTAGATAGACAAGATTTACCCTTCACAAATCCATGCTGATGCTTTGAAATTCGTTCTTCTAAAAATGTTAATAAATGTGCCCTCACCAACTTTTCATACACTTTGCACAAAATACAAGTTAATGAGACAGGTCTATAATTTAAGGGATCAGATTTAACACCCTTTTTGAATAATGCTACAACAGATGCTGTCTTCCAAATGTCAGGCAGGACTCCTGTTTCTGAACATTTAACAAATAATTTAGTAACAGCTTCAACAAACATTTCATCGTATGCTAAGGATTTCAACAACTTCGGATGAACGCCATCCGGACCAGAACCCTTAAAAACATTAAGCTTTAAAAGCTGCTTCTTGATATCAGAACTGCTAATTTCCATATCATCAATCACCTCTTTGTTATAACTCTCATTTTGGGGAAGAGGGCCAGGTGGTTCACGCACAAACACAGAACTAAAGGCACTAGCAAGTACCTCAGCTGACTCAGATGAACTATCTGTGCGTGTACCATCTCCTCTATCCAAAGAAACAACACTTGATTTCACTTGACGTTTATTACGCAAATATGAGTAAAAAGATTTACAATTCTGTTTTAAATTAGCTGTAATCTTCTTTTCATAATTTACTTTAGCTTTAATCTCTGCCACCTCAAAATTATGCTGCTTGCTATTTGCACAGCTCAAGTTAATATAAGAAGGATTAATATCAAATTCAGCCCATGCTCTGTCCTTGTTCTTCCTCATTCTTTTAAGTGCAGTTGTACTCCATGGCAACTTGACAGGTCTGTTGTCGAGATAAACCGAAGCAGCTGGGACAGCTGCAGCAACAGACTCCAATTTACTATGTAGTTCAACCCACATATCTTGAACATTATTTTTACAACTATAATCCCAGTCAATATTATTCATACTAAAGTTAAGTAACTCTTCTGAGGAAATCTTACCCCAAATAGGCTTTAAAATCTTTTGTTTGGGACTTTTGTTAGTATTGGGCGAAACAACCAGTTCGACAAGTATCCCAACATGATCACTTTTGCCAAGCGGAGAAACGATCTTACAACCGTTGACAAGAGCATCATTTGTATACAAAACCTGATCAAGAAGACTCTCCTGGAGAGTATCTTTCACAAGCCGTCTTCTGGTTGTTTCGTTAGTAAAGTACCACGTCAAACCACTGTCATTAAATAAATCAATATACTTTTGTTGAATCATTAAAACCTGATTCTTACTAGAAAAACCACTATTTACACTACCAGTTTCCCATGATACATTAGGTAGGTTAAAATCTCCTATGATAATGGTTTCAAAAACATTCTTTTCACTAGATATGTTCTTGATGCAAGATAATAACATATTGTTCTGTTCTAAATTCAAAGAAGTAGACCTATAAATACAGCAAATACTAATCAATCCACCGGAGGTATTGACATTAATAGCTAAAGAGTCTGGTGCTCTTAAAAATGAGCTCACTAATGACGCATTACAACTGTTTTTAATATAAATAATAGAACCTCCACCTACACTTATGTTGCTAGTGGAGTTATCGATTTTAAAATCTCTGTCTTTTCTAAACATACTAAAACCTTCAATAAAAATTTCAGCATCTAAAATATCACTATTAAAATGAGTTTCTGTAATGCAGATTACATGAATAGATTTATAAACTGATAGAATACATTTTAGTTCATCAATTTTATTAAATAGTCCATTAGCATTAGTATAAAAAATATTCATGGGTTGACTACATTCTTTGTTACTGCTATTTACTTCTTCTCCGCCTTCTTCTCTGTCTTTTTCTTCTCTGCTTCTTCCCGCCTCTTCTTCCTCTATTCTCTGGCTAAAAAACGGATCTCTCGGTCTGCTCTGCAGAGATCCAGATTTATCCAGTATGATGACTCTTTCCAGCCCTTGCCATGGTTGGAATAATAGTTAACTGACTCCTGGTCAGCTGTCTGGATGATCAATGGCCGACAGGAGTCTGGCTTGTCTGAATCCACTTTACCTGCACGATGGCAACTGATAAAGTCACTTTTTTCAATCTTTAATGTCTCCTTGCAGAAATTCGAGTCCTCTTCCTGACGTAGCTTGGAGTTAGCTTTCTTGCTCTCTGGTACATTCAAAACACACAGATTGAGCTTCCTTAAATTCCGCTCATATGCATCAGTGTGCATCTTTGTCTGAACTTTACTGACAACACTTTGTGAAGCTTGCTGTATGCTCATTTCTTCAATAACTTTCTTTTGACTATTTGCAGTCACATCTGCCCAGGATTTGAAAGCCTGGTTCACTATTTTTGTGATTTCTTTTGGTTTTTCAGATGAATCATTAGAAGAACTGGTATGACTCACAGAATCTTCAACAATTCCTCTGATACACGGAGTTAGGGCCTCAAGTTCTTCTCTAATAACATTTCTCAGGGTCTTGGTTTCTTCGCTGTCTGGATTTGTGGACTGGCTCCTTGTGCCCTTGATGTGGGGGGAGATAAAGCAATTTTGGCAGCGCCAGTTAGTCAAGCGGTCACCTTCTTCCTGCGTTAATCCTGTAAGCCCAACACAGCAGTAGTGCCAGTACATTTCGCAAGTTGCACATGCCAAAGAAAACTCCTCCTCAATATATTTTCTACATTCACAGCTGCGATCTTCTTCGTCGTCAATTTCACCATTATCTGTTGTCCCACCGATCTTTTCTGGACTTCTCTTGACATTTCTGGATCGTGTACTCTTTCCGCGTGTCATACCTCAAATTATTTGTTATATAGTAGTGTTGAAAGTATTAAAACTTTTTTTTTACGGCCAAGTTAGGGACGCTCTAAACGTCCCTGCTAATGTTGAGATATTTGTTTTGGGAGATTTTAATTCAAAGTTGGGAAAAATGACTGCTTCAGATAAGGACTTTGGTTTTGGTCGTTTCATGGGTAAACATGGTATGGGTTTGCGCAACGATATGGGAGAAAACTTGTTAGACTTGTTATCAGAATTTGACCTCTTTGCCTCCAACACTGGTTTTTATCATCCTGCCCGACATACGACCACCTACACTGGCTGGAGGAAGGACTGGAGTGCCGGGCGAAATAGTAAAAAGACGATCCCGGTCTATTCTCAGATCGATTTCATCCTGTGTCGAAGTAGGTCGAAGCCAATGCTACAAGATTCTAGATCTTATGCAGGCACCTTGACATACTCTGATCACAGATTTGTTGTCACTAGAGTAGATTTTAAGGACATCTGTCTTTGCTATAAACGCCACTCCAAGTCATCCTTAAAGTTCAACACCTCTGAACTCACCTCGAACCCCACCATTCAGGTGAAATATCGTCAATCCTTAGATGATAACTTAAGTAACACTGTTTCTGCTCTGGATCCAAATTCAGACTTGAATGGCTTACTTGAGTCCATAAAGGATGCTGCAAAATCGTCAATTGGTGTCATCAGACACAGGAAACGTAATCGCAGCGACGATGATGAGGTGAAAAACTTATCTAGCCAGCGTTACTTGTTGAGACAGCAGCTTAATGATAACCAGTCTTTAGACAGAACCTCACTTAGATCATCTATTAACTGCCTCACCAATCAGATCAAGCAGAGACTTTCTAACATACGATCAGCTGCTGCTGATGCTATCTGTAATACCATCAGTTCAACAACAGATAGTAAGAAAATGTTTGAAGCTGTTCGAACCCTGAACTTACCTAAAAGTAAAGCCCCTTCTAGTATTGGTGTTCATGATGAGCAAGGGTGCAATATTGCAACAGACACTGGTAAAGCTGCCGTAGTTGCTAAGTACCTTGAGCAACAACTTACTCGTGATGAAGCACCTTTAGAACCTTTTGTAGGACCTCCTCGCCCACTAGTTAAGCCATTCACTAGTGAAGAAATCGGATCAGCTGCTAGAAGTCTCAAAAATGGTCGAGCTAACGGCCCAGATGGGATTCCTAATGAGCTTCTCAAGTATTCTACTGGATCAGTACACAGACGTTTTGCAGACATTATCAATAGAAGCTTCGAGACCAATTCCTACCTTGACCCCATTGGACAGGCAAACATTACCCCCTTACAGAAGCCAAATAAGCCCATTGGTCCAGTGAAGAATCTACGACCCCTCACTCTCTCAAATGCTGTTAGAAAGATTCTTTCAATGGCAACCTTGAAGAGAATTGAGAATAAAGTCAATGCCTTCACTGGTCCATGGCAATGTGCTTACAAGCAGGGTAGATCATGTGCTGACATTGTATGGTGCCAGCGTGTGATGTTATCAGTTGTCCAGAGGAAGAGGTGGGAATACCATCGCATGGGGATTGACATGTCTAGTGCCTTTGACACTATACGACGATCTACCATCCTCGATCTTCTTGTTGAGTGTGGCTGTGATGATGACGAAGTCCGTTTGGTAAGACTTTTGCTTTCCAACACCAAGCTCAAAGTCAACATCAACGGTACACTGTCTGCTGAATTCCAGAGTTTTCTCGGTGCATTCCAAGGTGACTGTCTGTCTGGATGCTTGTTCACACTTGTCTTAGCGGGTGCCTTGCGTGACCTCCGTAACAGGCTTGAAACTGCAACGAATAGGCCTAACCCACCTATTACCGATATTGGTCTTCCACTTGACAGTGAGTATGCTGATGATATCGACTTCAATGATGAAGATGAAGACAATCTGAGGGAGCTGTTGCCTATTGCAACAGAAGTCCTTAAAGATTGGAATCTCTTCGTTAACGAAGACAAAACTGATTTCACTCATGTGTACTTAGCTGAAAAGGGAGCTAAAGACGATCAGGGTAAGCCAATTGCAGGGAACGAGCTCTGGAGAAAGAGTATCACGCTTGGCTCCATGCTTTGTAGTAAGGAGGACACCTCTAGAAGGATATGTCTGGGATATGCCGCGTTTAACAAATACAAGAAAGCTTGGAACCATAAGATCCCTCTGAGCAAGAGGCTTCTGTTGTATGAGGCTCTGGTAGTATCCGTTTTAATGTACAATTCATCTTGCTGGGCTGCCCCTAAATCAGTATTGGAAAAACTAGCTATTGCTCACAGACGTCATCTGCGATCAATTTTGAATTACAAATACCCTCACATCATCTCCAACAAGAACTTGTATAAACGCTGCAATAGCGAACCATTGTCAGCTAAAGTGGCTTGTAGTCGGTGGAGGATGCTCGGACATGTACTGCGTGGGCCTACAGATGGCCCTGCCTATTCGTCGCTTGTTTTTGCTGTCAACACCTTACAGCTTCAAGGGCGGCGTGGAAGACCGCAGTCAAACCTTTTCTCACTGATTCTACACGACCTTAGTGTCCGAAAATTATCGTTAAATAATTTATGTGATTTAAACTATTTAACGTTAATTGCTCAGAATAGAGTTAAATGGAGAAGTATGCAAATTGCATGACTTTTGTTTGAGAAAGATTAGGGGACAGAAATGTTTACTATGTTTACTATCTGTTTCTTAGAGCTTTTGTTTATATTATATGTAATAGGTTGCATTTCATGTACTGGTGTAACAAACGGAGAATTTCGTTTGCTCTTTCATACAGTTTTTTTCTACATTCATCTACTACAAATATGTTTGTGTCATCTGCAAATAGTATGAACTTGCCCAGATCAGTTGTTCTAAATAAGTCGTTAACATATATTATAAATAGCAGGGGTCCGAGACAAGAGCCTTGTGGAACTCCAAAGAGAACAGGCAGCTTGTCAGACTCTTCGCCCAGTACAGAGACATATTGATATCTATTAGAGAGATAACTAGCGATGAGTCTATTGGCGTTTCCACGTATTCCATAGTTGTCTAGCTTATTAAGTAGTTTTTCATGTGAGATCGTGTCAAACGCTTTAGATAGGTCAATAAATATTCCAAGCACATGCAGTTTTTTGCTAAGACAGGATTCTATGTAATTCACTGAGGAGTTGAGGGCATGGCTTGTGGAATGATTTTTTCTAAATCCGTACTGGTTCTCGTAAATCATTTTCTGGGACTGAAAGAAGCTATACAGTCTGTTGTAAATAATTTTTTCAAATATCTTACCAAAAACAGCTAAGGTTGATACTGGCCTATAGTTTTCCAGCAATTCCTCATTATCCTTCTTATAGATCGGACTGATTCTCCCAGTCTTTAAATCATCTGGGAATACTCCATTCCTCATGCATTCATTGTATAATAAAGATAGTATAGGACAGATCACTCTAGACGATTCTTTAACTACGTGTATTGGGATGTCGGATGACTTCCCATTCTTCAGTTCAGATATTATCATTCTAACCTCGTCAGCTGTACAGTCATTCATGAAAATACTGGACGTGTTTGCTCTAGGCAGGTAGTCATAAAAACTAGGAAGATTGTTAATAGTTAGTTCTCCAATTTCATTATATGCCCCGTTTAAATTAGACGCTAGAGAAACAAAATACTTATTAAATTCATTGGCTATTACTCTACGATTGGTTATCTTCTCATTGTTTATAGTAAACAGTGGTTTTATTTGCCGTTTCTGTTTGCCCCGTATTTGATTAATCAGTTCCCATGTCTTCTTACTATTACCGTTTGTGTCTGCAAATTTTCCCATGAAATACTTAGTTTGAGCATCTTTGCGATCTTTTTTAACCATCCTTCTATAATCCTTATAAGTTTTGTATCTAGAACGTTTTTCACAACATTTCAAGCATTGACATGTTCCACCTTTATAATCAGTTTCACCAAGTTTACATTTTTTCTTTCTAACTTTAGCCCAATTGTCATAGAGCTGGTGCTGATGGTTGATTTTGGCTATAAGCCCAGGTGTAATCCATGGGTTATTTTGTGTAGTTCTTTTGGAACACTTAGGGGTTGCCAACTTACACGTTTTATCGATACTACATTTGAAAACATCATGAAATATCGTGAAGTTTTCAATTACTTTATTCTCTAATTCATGTTCTAAGTCCTTTACAAAAGAGGTAACATTAGACTTACAGTAGTCGTAATACTGTTTATATTTTAGGCTACTCTTAGTGGTTCCCATACTCTTTTCAAATATTTGAAAGACTGGTGAGTGGTGGGATATACGATCAGTAAGTGTGCCTGAGGCTATTATACTCTCTACATCGTTAGTTATAATATTGTCAATACACGATGCTTTACAACCTGGCTTCTCATGAGTTGGCAGAGATATTAGGGGAAAAAATCCTCTACTGAACAGGACTTCCTCATAACGTTTTACAATCGCATTATCCTTATTATGTAGATCAATGTTGAAATCACCTGCCAGGTAACTGCATTTCGGCAAATTATCGAGAATTGCTGAGAGTTCTAATAATGCAACATTTACATCACCACTTGGAGGGCGATAAACTACACCAACAGTGACCGGAGTATTCTTGCTGCTTATCGTAACAAATAGAGTTTCTAGGTTTTCAGATATATGGGACAAATTGCCATTTACTGTAGCACTGAGGGTATCACATACATAAAGAGCGACTCCAGTGCCTTTTCTTTTATCTTGCAAAGTGTTTTGGTAGAAACTATTGTATCCAGTCAGTTGGTAAAGGTCACTTAATTCGGGGCCTTCATTTGTTTCTGCTAAAGCAATGATCGAAAATTTCATATATCTCTGTAGTTCTATTGCCAGAGTATCAAAGTTAGATTTATTACCATCGATATTTTGAAATAATAATGATGAGTACTCGTTCATTTGGTTGCAAAATGTTTTATTAAATTCTTTAACACTATATGGGTTACAGTTATTGAGTAATCGGTTGATGTTTACAAGTGTTTCATCAATGTCAGTACTATTATTTTCAGAGTCAGTATCTTCATATATAAACGGATTGTAACGAGTACTTGCTAAGTGTACACAGTTAGGGCAGTAAAAATCTTCATATATTTTGTTTGTACTGGATTTAGTATAGCATTTATGGTGCATAGCACAGTCACACCTACAACATTCAGCAATGAATTGGCCAATGGAAATGAATTTTGTACAGACAGGGCATACCTCTTTGGTAAATTTATTCATGGGTACGGTACGTAACCTTCCCCTTGTTGAGTCGCAGCAGCAGCAGGAGAGGAACCACCCATCGTCTGGGAGTATAAGCGATTGTCAACTTTATCCGATCTCTTCTTCCTTCTATCAGTCCCTCCATTCATCCTTAAAAGTATTGTATCACGTATAAGAACCCCCAGTTTAAAATTTAACCTTCATGAATCTAGATAAAATCTTTTTAGCTTTTAGAACTGATTAAAAATTAAAATGTGCATTTAAACAAACCATGAAATCACTCGAAATATGAAATACTACTTAACACTTAAACTTAAAAGACATTGTTTTATTTTTTCATAAAAAAGCCCAACAGCAAATAATAAATAATATATGGAATAGCGTAAGTATGAAGTAGTTTTTTTTGAGGTACCTTATTTTTATTTTATCTAAAAGCAAGGCGGTAATAAAAGTTATGGCTAACCAAAGCCAAGCATATTTTCTCTAAATTTTAAATTATTTGCTCTAACAATATTCTTTGTGCTTGCAGTGTGCAGTGCAGGATTGACATCGTGAATCAACTTCTAAAGGTATTTTCTCAGTCCTAAGGGAAATACGAGGCACATTGCAACAACCGCTGCAATCATACAGTAGCAGTAGGTATGGAGATCAAACAAGGAAGGAGCAAACATAGAACAGATGTAGAATGAACAGAAGCCAATGTTGTTCAGAGAAAACCCCAGAGTTGTTCCTTCTCCGTAAATCCGTCCAGCTGTTGTATAGTAAATGATGCTCACTCCACTGTCAGCCAGCCCAATCAAAGCACAAATCACAACAACGTGAATGGAGTCCGGTGTGATGTAGGTCTCAGCTGAACCAAGTACCAAAATCTCTGAGGCTGCACCTTTCGGGAACACCAATATAGAAAGTATGATTGATGCCAAGAGCATCGCTGAAGCAAATAAAATGCAACAGATGTTGTTGGTGATCTTTGAGAGAAGGTTCCAAGTTGTCGTTCCAACTAGAAAAGATGCCCCATTTATCACAGATGTGAGTGGAATAAGGTTTCTTTTATCGGAAATGGATGCTGTAGCTGTAGGAAGTATCTTTATGAAGTATCCCCATACAAATCCCCAGTAAATAAGAGGGATGCCCAGAAGCCAGAATTCAGGAATCTTTATCATGAGTTTGAACCAATCAAGACCTTCTTTCAATCCAGCTTTCTTAATCATGACTTTGAACCAATCTTTGACTTTATTCACTCCAGATGGTTTACCAGGCATCATAAATTTCACTTCTGCTTCCCCTTCCTTTGTGGAGTATGTTACTTCATCCAAATCATCTAAATCATCCTGGGGGACGTTTTCAATATCTTCATCTTTTAGTGGTTGATGTCGTTTTGAGCTTTTCTTTATGTCAGTGATCCCAAAAGCAGCTACAAGACTAGCAAACATGGTAACTCCTACACATATTGTGTAGATCAAGACCCTGTTTTTTGAGGATATCTTTGTCACTCCTTGGAAGTAAAAGTAGTTTGCCAATCCCCCCATCACCATTCCGCTAGACATTGCCATAAACCAGTAACTCATATTCTTCTGTGATTTCTCTCCTGCTGATTTGTCAACCACAACCATGGGCCACAAGATCCACAAAACTCCCCAGCCAATTCCAGATAGACCAGCTCCAAAGTATATCATATTCTTATTCACAATCCATATCATCACCCAGTAGTTGCCAGTCACCAGAACAGTGGACAGCAGTACAGTGACCTTGATCCCAATCAGTTTGTAGACTGGATGAAAAATGATTGCTGTGACGATAGATGCTGCCATTTTCACCACCCCAGAATAATATCCGACTGAGAGGTCGATGTCTGTGCTCTCAGCAAGGGCCATGTTTTGAAGTGCTGCGGATGGCCCACCAGCAAATACACACAGAAACATACAGAACGAGGCCACAACAAGGTTCTTAGTTCTCTCATCACAGCAGTTCTTCAAGTTCATGCTAAGTTCTTTTGATAAAACCATATTGTTAGGAACAATGTTACATGGTTTTTAAAAGTTAGCAACAAAACCTAGTGCTCTGACCAGCTGGTGGTGAAGTTGGCTGAACGAATTAAATGCAAAAAGTTCAAAAAATGTAGAATTCTAACGCAAGAAGAATCTGTTACTCGGAGTATTTCTCACAATCAGAATATTCAATAAAACCAGAGAATCTTCGTTCGGGTGCACAGAACAATCTCAGATAAATTGCCACCTCAAATATTGAAAGAATATGCAGCTGACATTTCAGTAACACAATATTTTAGAAATGTATTGCGTATCAATGCATTTCTAAAATTGTGTGTTATTGTGTGTTATAATTTCAAGAATTTACAGTTTACACTCCCTATCATCCATTGTTCTAACCAATTCCCTTTTCCCCATGAGGTTGGTCAGATTCATTTTGCTATTGTTTGTTCGCTGTGATACCTGCAGCGAAAAATAGTTCAGTCTACACAATGACAAAGGAGAGAACTATAACACACATAACGCTGGCACGTACAAGGATTAAATTTCAATTTTTCCCGCAACGCCTGGGAAAAGTTGAAAATAATTTTGAAAAGTGTGCCAGCGTTTTGTGTTATAAACTCCTCCGGGATGCTGCTAAGTGCTAAGGCTAATTTGTTTTAATATTTACCTTTCATTCTAGCTATATGAGATCAGTATGGAAAATACAAAATGGAATTGGGGCGTATATTATACTACTAGATGAATAAAACTAAGGTACTATGACGGTTGAAATTGGCGTTATATTTTTAAATAGTTCCTCAATCTGAATGTTGAGTAAAGGGGCTTCGAGTAAAGCCTGGCTAGCGAAAAAAGGTGGTGCCGATATCGTGTCACAAAGTTCATCTTTGTGACAGTTTATCTAGATAAACAGATTATGAAAAAGGTGGTTGTAGACGTAGTAGATAAATCCGATAAAACCGTCATTGTTCTGCCAAATTTAATTGATTGCTGTATTGATTATCACTTTTCTAGATATGGAAAAAGCATATGACACACTGTACGATGAGCTTCTGTCTGAGTTAAAACCTTTAGTTCTAAAACTTCCCGTAAGAGAGGGTAAGTTGTTTTTAAATTCGGATTTTAATGGTTCTATTTTATTATAGTTTTTACACGATGTGCATACTGCTTAGGTCATGTATTTGCACATTATATAGATTATAATCATTTTCAGAAAGGCAGAGAATAGCATCTTGGATCAAGAAGTTAAATGAGCCCAATGCTAAAGACCCTCTGTGGAAAAAATCCAGGAACTTATATGCTCGGCTCATGAAGACAATGCTAGAAAAGGGAGTGGTCGACGAGCCCTTCAGAGGAAACCCTCCATCAGACCCTTTAGCCCCCTTGCCTACTTACATGACCATCTTCCTCGAGGGATCCAACTATGACAGTACATCAGATAAGCAGTCCTCAGTAGAGGATTCCAGTAGAAGGAACTCAGGGAAAAGGAAGTTGACTTACAGTCCCAAGAAGACAGCTTCATTGCCTGACCTGAGTGTCATGACGTCAGAGGAGGAGTCAGACGAGGACTTGAACAGCTTACTGAGAGGTCCAACTCACCGCCCCCCTGTAAGTAACACCCACCACATCCCTGTAAGTAACACTCACCGCCCCCTGTAAGTAACATTCACCGCCCCTTGTAAGTTACACTCACCGCCCCATGTAAGTAACACCCACCGCCCCCTGTAAGTAACACCCACCCCCCTGTAAGTAACACTCACCGCCCCATGTAAGTAACACTCACCGCCCCCTGTAAGTAACAATCACCGCCCCCCCTGTAAGCAACACTCACCGCCCTCCTGCAAGTAACATTCACCGCCCCCTGTAAGTAACACTCACCGCCCCCCTGTAAGTAACACTCACCGCCCCCCTGTAAGTAACACTCACCGCCCCCCTGTAAGTAACACTCACTGCCCCCTGTAAGTAACACCCACCGCCCCTGTAAGTAACACCCACCGCCCCCTGTAAGTAACACTCACCACATTCCTGCGTCTCCTACATACTTTAAAATTTAGAATGTATCCCAAAGCTATGCACAATGTACTGGAATTTTACAAACAGAGTGATTTATACACTATATCCTAGTATAAACACAATTTAATAATATAGAATGAACGATATAATCTTTACTTGTGAAATGTCAGTTTATTGGTTGCTTTAAGGTCAGAAATGAAAAATATGTAACGTCGATACCAAACCAATTATTGAGCGATGGTAGCCTCGTAGTTTATTCCTGGGTTGCAGTGTGTCTTCCATTCTCAACAAGCATTTATAAAATTTGTACTACACTGTTTCCCATCAGTTAAAATTTCGTTTGTTCTGGTGTCAGAATATTTTGCCTTATCATTAGGCATTCATTATACTGAATTTATCGGCTCCAATAGTAATATAACCAGGATAACACAGGAATGTTTCAGACACCCACAAGTTTCAGTATTCCCAAAATGTTTACCTCCACTCCCGGTCCAATGAAAACAGGTTTGATTTCCCCTTGTGCACGTCATAATGTTCCTCTTAAATTCCAAATTGACAGAACCACCTCACAAGTTTGAACAGTAGATCAGTTTTATCAAATAGCGTAACACTTAACCCCAGTACAATTTAAAGGGAGCTCACCCGCAGTACAGATACCAGTTAGACAACCCTCAGCTGCTACATCTCACACTATCCCTAACTACAAGGTACAATCTGGTTACTTAGTAACTCTGTCTTGGTTACTAAGTAACTCTGCCATGGTAACTAAGTAATAATGAGAACATTGATCAATTGTTAAGACAATTTATCTATATTATAACATTATAATACCTTTGCGAACACAATATGGACAAAAACTCATGAGGGTAAAGGAAATATTTCTACGAACATAGTGATAGTGAAAAACTTATACAAAGGATGCCATAATGCTGGCAACATGCCGCAACCTCTAAGTAGCCACCTCTAAGTCGTACACACAAACCAACTAGTAAGTCATTACCCTACAAACCAGTATACCCCTAATCCATAATTCTATTCGTGCAAATACGCTATCTTTCGCTGCGATTTTCAAGATTTTCGCCACGATTTTGCCTAGTTTGGCTTGTCGCGGCGCCGCGATTTTTGGGCCAAATAATCGCGATTTTCTTATGTCATTGCCGGTTATTGTCACGTATTTAACCCGGAGTCTTTTTAACTTGACCTCCCAAATTTTACAGCTCTCTATCCAACTTTTAACATAAGCCACTGTGTCAGGGAATAGTGGAGAAGGAAGTACAGATGAAAGAGAGGTTGCTAAGTAACCGGTATAGTGAGGAGAGATTGAAACTTCAGCGTCATCACGACGAGCTTTTACAGAAGGTAGCTTTAGTCACGACATAGCTCTGTTGTAAATATTGCAACATGGTGAATGTTTATTGTTCATTATGTATTAATATTATGTTCTTGTAAAGTTGAAATTAGTTTTTAAGAGTTGCACTTAAAGGAAGTTACTTTCAGTGAAACAAAAATTTAAATTTTATGCCATTTTTAACAGTCTAATCAAAACTAAATTAACGAAATAAAATGAAACTAAATGAAACAAAGTATTAAATACCCCGTTCCTACAAAAGAAAAATAATTCAATTTAAAATTTAAAGGAAACTTTATGCGTAGTATGGTCAAGTCACGATTTTACCGTTTAATTTAATAAAATGTATTAAATCAATCCACTAGATCCTGGACAAGAAGACGAAAGAAGTAGAAGAATTTAGATCCGAGTACAGAAATAAAGTTTTACAACTTGAAAACAACAACAAGACCTTAGAGAGGAGGTTACAACAGGTAAAGTAAGACGATTAGAACGAAATGATGGGAGATTCTTGAAATATATTTGTAATACGATAGTTAGTTAAGTTTGTTAGTTAAACAGAAGTTTAAAAAAGCATCTTTAAATCGTCTTCAGCAGATTAATATGATTAGCATATGTTTCTGTGGGATTGTTTGTCTTCAGTGTCTGTGTGACCGTTATGAGGATTGAGGATGTTAGACATTCTCTTTCTTTGTCATGAGATGTGTTAGCTGACGTTTCATATGAAATCGACAAATCAGTAATGATGGTATTCATCCGCAGTCGCCCCAAGATAAACGAGTGTAGAATCTTAAGATTGATAACCACCAAGAAAAACGATCTTAAAATTATTTCCAATTTAATTAAGTTATATATTATGTAAGCTCTTGTCAGTTAATTTCAAGTATTATACATCATATAATTAACCTTTTAAGCCTTAGAGAAAAAAAAGCCTTTAACAAGTAAGATAACTTGACCCATCAAAGCATAAATCTCGTTATTTAGTATCGTTTAAATTTGTTACATGATCCCCTAATCGGTTAAACATAAAATCACACAGGCACAAGAGGAAAATGTGAGGTTAAGAGAGGTAAAGGAACGTCAGGCATATGATTTTAGGAACGCACAGAATCAGACTACCTCAAATCTGAGGACGGAGTGCGAGAAGAGGGTAAGATAACAAAATAGTTTATTACATAAGGAGGCCGGGGGGTCTTTATCAAAATCACATTTCAGGACTGAGGCAGTTTTCACGTATTTTCAACTTAATATAGTAAATTAGAATTTGAATTTGGAGACTCTAGACAATAAGATTGTACTTTATTCCTAGTTATCTAAGCTGAAGGAGGAGCAGGAGGAAGCAACAGTGAGGTTACAAGCCGAAAACCAGGAACACTTACAGAAACTTATAGATGAGACAACCAACTCTATGAGTAGGATGGAGGAGGAGTACAAATCTCAAGCTGACAACATGGTACATACTTACACGTCTTTACAGACATACTTACAGACATACTTAGATTACTAACAGACATACTTACTGACATACTTTCTGATTAACTGACAGACATACTGACAGACATACTTGCAGACATACTTACAGACATACTTACAGACTGAAAACTTTCAATGATGTTATGATTGTCTTGTTATTCTACTGGATAGATGTCATCTACACTGTTTTATGAATGTACAATGTGCACCATTGTAACCCCTCCCCTCAGAGTTTAGTTATAAAGGAATGCGAGGATAAGTGTGCAAAACTGAGAGAGAATTTCGAAGAGAGCGAGGCTGGAAGAAGGAAGGAGCAGGAGAGGGGACACGAGCTGGAGATTGAGGTCTCCCAGAATAAGGAGCTCCTACTTCAGTCTGAAGACAGGTAATTACGGTACTTATTACGGTACTTATTACGGTACTTATTACGGTACTGAAGAGTACGTGATCTTCATGAACATCGTTCATAAAAGTAACCAAATTGTTAGCTTATTCAATGAATTGTAGAAATTCCGATTATATGAACGATTACGGGAGGTAAGTTTTTCATCGAACGTGGTTTCAATTAAAATCATTCTGAGATACCTGTACCACAACCAAAGGGTAAATATAGTAAAACAGAAATATCAACCATAATTTCCTTTGATAAGTTTTCAAAGCTACTCCTGGATGTAGTTTCTCAAGCCTCTATTTCAATTATATATACAGCTGTAGTTTTTATCTTTAAAAGTTTAAAGCAGAAAAAAGCCAATATTTTTTAAGCTTGCGTTAAGAACCTATATTTGTAGTATTATTACATCACGGTGCCTGCTTACTATTACAGTATAACTCTCTACAAGCACTGCCATGCTACACGCGCTACACTACTCAACCATCACCAGAACTCTGCTTAATAAGCAAGCTTTACTTGGAGTTCTACTGTGCATAGTTATTAAGTCAACACCACAGTTTCTGTCACACTGCTGCACAACATGCACAACTCATTACGAGAGCTGTGACGTCATAGAATTCAGCTCAGCGCAAATAGGACCATTACATATTCGCCACCCATGTATTTATTGGAAACATTAGCTTGAATGTATGTCTCACTTTAATATGTAGCGTGTTAAGTAGAATCTTGACAGACGCCAAATATGGGGTAATGGATGTGCTGGAATAAAGCCAAATATGAGATAATGAGTTTGATAGATTGGTTATTATATCATTAACAGTTAACTCGCTCTTGTTATGACACTGGATATGTGGGGTCGTTGCAGGTTGTCATGGTAACGTTCGGTTGCTGTTTGAAAGTTTAAAGCATTGGCGGGTTAGTAATATGATATGCTCTGCGGGTTACAGAGACGGACTGTTGAGCTGTAAACATTATAGTTCGTGTGGGCCAGTCCCTTAAATCATAATCTGCCATCAGGTTTATATTAAAGTCACTATTGTGACGGTACATTAGAACTAGACAGAAACAAAGTGTGAAGGGCCTGAACGGAACCCCTCGGTTTCAGTTCCTTGTTTAACACTGCCGTACAGCAAGGACATCCACCGGGTTCTGCAAGGATGGGCACATAGCTCACTCCACACTATGCTCTGTCAAATGTTGCTTGCTATAACATCAGGTTTGAATAAGATGCTTTTGAAAATCTCTGATTTAGAGTGATTGAAACGGCGCTGAGGGTAAAGGATGCCATCGCCATTTATTGAAAAAATTATCGGTTGTCACTATTTTTGAAAAATGATCGATTGTCACTATTAAATATTAGCGAATAAGGGTACCCTACCGGCTTATATGCTTTGATTGGTTAAAACGAAATAGATCCTGAGACATGGTCTGAGAGGTTTGAGTTTGAGGGAGAAATAAAACACCACTCATAAAATTTGCAACTGTCGAAAATTATATTCTTATTTATAAACTCAGAAATCAAAAGTTTAAGAAACAAAATCTGAAAACTAATTCTAAGTTTAATCAAAAACGGGAATGTAATGTTAAGTATTTACATTGAAAGGGATAATCAATATCTTCTAGACATTACCTTATATGGTAGTGTTACAATGTCCATGGTAACATTACCTTATATGGAAATCAGTAAAAGAGTCCAGCTAAAGATTTTATAACTATACTAGATATATTTCTACTTGCCTGGTATAAAATTATAAGTAAAAATATTGAATCAAATTGTTAAAAACGCTGTCATAATAATTCGGAAATATCAATGAAATCTAAAGTCCCTGGTTTCATGTCTTCTTATATTTCATGTAAAAACTTAAAAAGATTGTGCTCTAAAGTTTAAATTTACTTGTGACACATGCAATATCTTAATATGTTTAATACTGTTTGAATAAATTATCTGCATAGTAATAATATGGGTCACTCTCTCTCTCTCTCTGTTCTGGTCACTCATTCGTATTACATATAAATTTGTCACTGTCTTGAAATCTAAATAACCAATGTCCAATTCCCTAAAGTTTCCTTCGATTTCAACAGTAACAGTAAATTCTTACAATTACAATTATAAATTCTATGAATCTCTTGGTAAAAAGATATTTTCTTTACAATATTCAGCTCTAAATTTAGATCTGAATTAGATCTAACATCTCGGGTTGGGGTTATCTGATTGGTAGTTGGTAACCATGGCAACCATCTGATTGGATGAAAATATTTTCAAATAGTCCAGTTACTATCCGAACTATAGCGACCTTTTCACCATGAAAACAAACGAAGCCACAATAGTGACTTGAATATTAATTAAAGCAACAATTTAAGTCACTATAGCAACAAATATTATGTATCCACCATAGGTGCAAGTATCACTATAGCAACAAATATCACTATAGCAACAAACATCACCACAGTAAGTCTATAGTAAGTCTACTTAATCATCAGCAGGAAGTAACTGCACGTTATCAGCTGAACTAAGGTCCGTGATGCGCGGCTCGTAAGACATCTCCATAAACTCAGCCTCCTCGAGGATGTCCGTCCCGTAGGACACAGTGTTGCGTTTCACCTTGTTCCGGAGGTTGATCACCCAAAACACCAGAACCACACACGCTATTGCTAGAACCACCGCCACTATGACCGGCCACAACCAGGCATTACCGGCAGCTCCAGCTTTAACGGCGTGTGTGTCTCCCTGGTTATCCGCTGAGCCCACTTTAAGACAATCTATTTTATTACCTACTGAGCCCTCAGGGCAATCCAGACACTGGTAGTCCACCCAGTGTTTTCCTTCCTCACAGAAGGAACACTTAGTTTCTGAACTAGCTATAGTATACTGAGGGCACTGAGTGCACTCTTTAGCGCCCGACACACTAACACTGTTCGCTGGGCACACAGCACATGCATTATCAGCGCTATTCCAGAAACGTCCAGACCCGCACTTACAACCCGACTTGTCTTCAAGGATGGGACCATCAAGACACTTCTCACAGGTACCGCCAGTTGAGCTGTAACTGTTTGCGCCACACTCCTTGCACGTGCCTAAATCGAACAGTGTGGTCCACACGCTACCTGGGCTGCACGTGCAGGAAGTTGCTCCTTGCGCGGAAGTGCTGCCGGCTGGACAAGTTATGCAGGAGGAGTTTAAAGTCTTTGCGATGTAAGTGTTAGGAGCACAAGTCTCACACTTCCCATTGTTCATGTTGAAGTAGGTTCCTTCAGCGCAGGTACAATGCCAGTTATTCCCCACATGCACACTGGTTTCAGGACACACCGTGCAGCTGGAGCTGCCAGGCCCGCTGACGCTCCCAGGCGGGCACCTCACACAGGGGTCCCCGTTATAGAGAGCTTTGTAAGTGTTGTGTGCGCAGGGCTGGCACGTATTATCCTCGTAGTGACTACCTGCTGGGCACATGCTGACTAGGGTCTCCTTGGCCTGACACACCAGGTACACGTCTGCCGTACACTCGTGGTCAAACGCGTAGCTGCAGTCTCCGAACGCTTGGTCTGTGTTTGTGCAGCTCACATTGTTCATGATAGCTGGGTACATCATCTGAAATTTATTATTCGGTTAGAATCTTCCAAACAAGGTTGAGTTAGTGAAGAATTAATATAGCTGCTTATCGCTGTGCTTGGTGCAGAAACGCATTTAATTAGGTATTTTTGTCTGTACGTGAGTTAGTCCGTGTGTATGTTTGTTGACTGTACCTGAATACCCTTGTGATCTCTAGTATTCCAGCTGGTCGCATGGTCGTGTCCCATTTGTTTACAGATTACCGCTGCTGCTTCCTGGTTGAAATTGTCCCCACAAACTGTACCACTAGTTGCACCCTGAACACATTGTTTAACTACTTCTGGTTGAGCTGATCGACATAACTCATTATAACATAACATAACTCGTATTACATTTAAACATAACTCAACATATTATGTATGTATAATAGTGGTAACCATGGTTTGGTGACAATCTCAATGTAGTGGTAACTGATTATGTTACAATCTCGATATAGTGGTAACTGATTATGTTACAATCTCGATATAGTGGTAACTGATTATGTTACAATCTCAATATAGTGGTAACTGATTATGTTACAATCTCAATATAGTAGTAACTGATTATGTTACAATCTCAATATAGTGGTAACTGATTATGTTACAATCTCAATTATATAGTGGTAACTGATTATGTTACAATCTCAATATAGTGGTAACTGATTATGTTACAATCTCAATATAGTGGTAACTGATTATGTTACAATCTCAATATAGTGGTAACTGATTATGTTACAATCTCAATATAGTGGTAACTGATTATGTTACAATCTCAATATAGTGGTAACTGATTATGTTACAATCTCAATAATATAGTTGGAGGTGTCGTTACTAACATGTCACTCCTCCGCACTATAATTACTCACATCCCGTACCTCAATAGATTTGAGAGTGTGCACTAAAAGTAGCCCCTCTCCAGCTGTAGTCTGGTGACCTTGGTCGTCTACCAGGTTGAAAGCAAACGGTTTACCCTTGCATTCCTGCTCTGAAGTAGTAAGGAATTTAGATATCTGAAAACATGTACCAGTTCAAGTACTAGTACTAACTTACCAGCGCAATCATTTACTTGGAATTGTAGTTTTTAGTAAAACGATAAAGGTACTCACGACAGATCAAGAAGACGTCCTCATTATGTGTGCAGTCATGGTGGAACTGGTAGGAACAGTCAGTGAACCTCTCTGCTGCCTCCCCACACTCCACGTTATCTAGCACTATTGTTTCGTTCTCTTGTACCTGGTGAGTTACAACTTACAACGCTCTGTCTTCTCTGGTGGACTGAATGTGCTCGCAATGATAACACATTTTTAGAATACTTTACAATCCATCCTCAAGAACCCCTGAATTAATCCACCAACACAATGTGTTGGTCATGTTATTTGTATATATCATTACCCCTTTGTAGCTAGCTGCGTTGAAGAAAGCGGTGGCACAGTTGAAGCCCATTTCGTTACAGATAATTTTAGCGGAGGTTTCGTTAAATCTGTCGTCACAAACTGTCCCTGTCTGGTGTATTGATTTGTTACTCGAGTAATTGTAAACTTTGTAAACCGTTATTGGATTCAGGATGTATGCTCATGTAACTTGAGTCCTTGTTACATTAGATTATTTGGAAAACTGGTTATGAGGACTAAGGAGGGTAGCACTGCAAATAGTTTAGAATAGTTACAAGCAATAGTTAAAAGAGATATAAAGTGAAAGTGAAAGTATTCTGTATTACCTTGCCCTCCTCGGTTCTATTAGCCATTAGTAGTCCAGACCCGGATGCAGTAACGTCTTGTAACTGCCTGTCAACTAGGTGGAACGTGTACAACTCCTTAGCTTCACATTCTTCCAGAGTGTGCTCTGAGATGGGGTGCTACAGTTTATATAGCGTAACACAGTGTGTTATAGTTTATATAATAGCGTTACAAAGTGTGTTACAGTTTATATAGCGTTACAAAGTGTGTTATAGTTTATATAGCGTAACACAGTGTGTTATAGTTTATATAATAGCGTTACAAAGTGTGTTACAGTTTATATAGCGTTACAAAGTGTGTTACAGTTTATATAATAGCGTTACAAAGTGTGTTATAGTTTATATAATAGCGTAACACAGTGTGTTATAGTTTATATAGCGTTACAAAGTGTGTTACAGTTTATATAATAGCGTTACAAAGTGTGTTACAGTTTATATAGCGTTACAAAGTGTGTTATAGTTTATATAATAGCGTTACAAAGTGTGTTACAATTTATAAAGCGTTAAACTAAAATCAGAAGACAAAACACACTAAATAACTACAGAAACTCACTGCAAGTCAAGAAGACATCTTCACTATGTACACAATTATGACCCGTAACATAGGGACACTCATCAAAGGAAGTGGTAGTATTACTACACTTGATATTATCTAGCACGATATCCAGAGTGCCCTGAAGTGTGGTGCTGGGTCGTTGTAAGTAGTGACCTTTAGCACACACGTAGCCCATAGCCTGGCAGATCAGGGTGGCTGCTGTTTCGTTAAACTCGTCGTCACACACTGTCCCTCTCTTGGGAGAGAGGTGTTAGTGAGGGGTTGTAGTAATTTGTTTCGTTGTGAATTGTGATACACTATCTAATTGATTTCGTTTTCAGAAACAGCCTGATAGCTGTTTTACCCCTGATTATATTCGTAATAATAATTAATGTTTCACCATAGTGCTTTGAACGAGTTATGTTACTTTTAAAGACTATGGGCTAATGTTTCAAATTCAAAATCTTATATTAAATATTTTATATAAGACAAACTACTAACCGTGTCTGTCCCATTCTTGGCAGCTATTAGCAGTCCTTTACCACCTGCAGCTGCTGTCTGACCCGTCTCGGCGTCCACTAACTTAAATACATACTTAGCAGGCAAACACTCGCTATCTGAAATACAATACAAATGTATAAAACTGTTAACAGAAAAATATTTTCCAAGCAATAATTCTGAATTATCAATGCTCCTATCAGCTAAAATAAATGCAGTAGCACTCCAACCATAATCCATATTTTAAAACCAAATATTAACCAAAAGTTAAACTATTTACCGCATCCTAAGAAGATGTCCTCGTTATGGCCGCAGTTGCTGGATGTTTTAAAGGTACAGTCACTAAAGGAGATGTTATCAGCCCCACACTGCACGTCGTCCAGTACTATGGGGTACTGTTTCTGTATCACCTCCCAGAACTTTCTACTCCACCCTGTGATAGCAGTTCACTGTTACCATGACAGCAACTTTACCGTGACTACAAAACCGTGTTACTGTGATAACAACAATGTAACCGTGACTACAAAACCGTGTTACTATGATAACAACAATGTAACCGTGACTTCAAAACCGTATTACTATGATAAAAACAATGTAACCGTGACTACAAAACCGTATTACTATGATAACATTAACAACAATGTAATCGAGATGACGAAGGTAATATATCCTACCGGTAGAACAAGTGAAGCCCATCTCTTTGCAAATAACAGTAGCTGATGTGTCGTTAAACATATCATCACACACTGTGCCTGGTAACTCCTGCGAGTAATTTGTACTGTTAACATAACAACAGCTGTGGTTAGTAACATCACAACTAACAACTGTTAGTAACACCACGACTCACACCGACACTGAGATCAGCTCTTAAGCAATTTTGCCGTTTTGTTGCTGAAAATTGGCCGCAAAATAAAATATTTACCCCAGGGCCTGACTTTCCCTCAGCAATAAGGAGGCCTGAGTTAATGGCCCTGGCTCCCTTCTCGTCTACAAAGTAGAACTTGTAGTCCTTATTAACCACTGAACACGCGTTATCTGTGGAGACAGATTCTGTTATTATTACTTAGTTACTGTGACTTGGCGCTAACTTATTATTGATGGTTACTTAGTTACTGTGACTTGGTGCCAACTTATTATTGATGGTTACTAAGTTACTGTGACTTGGTGCCAACTTATTATTGATGGTAGAGTAAAGATACAGTCAAACTGCGAAGGCACAACATCAAACCAACCTTACTCTATCTCCCAAAAACAACCTTCTCCTGGTCAGCCATGTCCCTCATCCTGCACTTGACCCCCGCAGAGGTCACAAGCCCATTGGAGCACAAATGAGCGAGAAACGGGGAAGCCTTAGCTACCGGGCTAAGGACTGCATCACTAGCAGCGAAATACGGATATACCCTCCCTTTTACATGCGTTCAACCGGCACCCGAACCACACGCTGTTTCTTAGACATAACTTCCCACTTACATCAGTGTCTTCTCGCATCAACTGGCATCGGCAAGTGGCGACACTGTGTAGACTCAACCCTGAGCTTGATCAGAATCTTCAGTCACAAACCTGACACCGTTTCGGGGCTTTCATTGCGATACGGTTTTCTGTCAGGTGCCCCAGCAGTCTCTCTTGGACCACCATCTGATCTGACAATCACCCGAGGATACCTGCTAGAGCTCGCGATTTACGACGAGTTAGCTTATGGCACCTCTGGCTGTTAGGTGAAGTCATAAAGCTCAAACAGCTCTCATCTCCCACTCTCTTTTCCTAGACAGCAGATAAATCCATCTTGAACAATGGGCTGCATCCTTCCCACAATCTCTGACCAACTTCTTGAGGGCTCTCCCAGTCAGACCAATCTTCCTTGATGCACACTCCAAACTTGCTGCGACCACACCTCTAGCACCAACCTCAACAGCAAAGCTGAAACATGACCACCCATTAGCTTGTATTTCCGCTTGTAGACTGTTATACCGATCAAGCTTCAGCTCATGGGATGCAGCTATTCTCTCTTCCGACGGTACTGTAAGCTCCCACCAGATTACTCTCTTGGAAGCTTTCGAGAAAAGAACCAAATCTGGTCTTAATCTGGTCGTTGCTATATCCGACGGGAATTTCAGCTGCTCATCCAGGTCTGCTAATACTATCCAATCAGTGGCCCCACTCAGAATCCCAAACTCACTGACTTTCGACCTCTTCACCTCCTTAAACCTCCCTCCTGCTGGAACAAACTCAATGGCTTTCCGAGTGACACAAGAGCTCTTCCTCTTGTTGACTCTCCGCTCACAATGGAATTTCACTTGGTCTGCTATTTGTTTAAGCACCTTATCGTGGCGCCATCGGTATCTCCCTTGACTTAGTGCCACAGGACAACCAGCCAGAATATGCGGCACAGTTCCCAACTTGTCACCACACAGCTTGCACATCCCATCCTCATCCTCGCTCCACTTGGATGCTAAAGCTGGTGTAACAAGCGTGCCATACACAGCACTAAGCAGAAAACCGATTAATGAGTCCCCATACTTGAAGAGCGTGTGCCAGCTCATGTCAGTCCTTGTCACCAGCTCTCTCCAATTACCCCACCTGGACTGCATCTCCAACGTACCCAACTGCACCTCTCTTTCCTTCCTGATGTTCTCCTTAACCCTATCCAACACCTCCCTCTGCTGCTCCTTTTCTGACATCTTCTCCCAGGGCTTCTTCCAATCACCGAAACCAATTCCCGCTCTACTAAGAGGTTGCACCATACCTCGCACTGACTCACACACCAAGTCTCTTTCAGCTTCGTGAAGCTGAGCATCTGCCTTCCAAACTCTCCCAGACCGCACCTGGGGTTGCACCGCTCTGATCAAAGCATCCTGAGATGTTTGATATGACTGCAAGAGACGGCACTTTTCTACTTTCCAAGTGTCGGTTAGGCTGTCGATGGGGAGAGCAACACTGGATGAATGACTAAACAGGCAAGAGCTACTAAGCGTGTGTCCCACTCCTAGCCATTTTCTGAGATGACTGTTAGTTGTTTGCTCCCAGCGAGAAACAGTGCTGATCGGGATATCATAAATGGCAAGTGGCCACTTCATCTTTGGAAGGACCATATACTGATACCCCCAACATTTCTGCAGGCCGGTGAGGGAGCTAAGATCGAGTCTACTGAGGTATGTAACAAGATCCTCGTGTGTTTTCTCGATTATAGCTTTGTCCTTTCCTTCTGCCCGAATCCACCTCCCTAGAAACTTGATTGGTTTCTCAGATACATTCGGGATCACCTCCCCGCTAAGCTGCAACCTCGCCTGACTAACTTCTGAACTCTCTACAACCCACTCCACTGTCACTCCCTTCTGGTAGACTAGTGCCCTAGACTTAGACGACTTAAGCTTGAACCTTGACCACACAACGAACTCCTGATAAACATCAAGCAGGGTTTGCATATCTACCATTTTAGCCGTGGTAAGGCAGCTATCATCCATAAACAGCTTAAGGGGTGGTATAGCTGTTCCATCCTTAATGTACTCGACACTCCTGGGTACCTTCATCTTCAAGTACTCGTCAGAAAGGTTCATGCATAGCACAAACAAGATCACCGAGATGACACAGCCCATAAATATTCCTATCTCGAACTGCTGCCACTCTGATGTCACTGTTTTAGAGGAGAATCTTCCGTAAACCTCCGAGAAGTATTTGATTACGATGTTGATAACTTTCTCGGGGATATGATAGAAGCGGAGTGCTTTCACAATAAGTAAATGTGGAACAGCCCCGTAAGCATTCGCCAAGTCTAACCAGACAACACTCAGATCCTTTCTCTTAACTCTAGCATCTTTGAGCACCTCCCACATAGCTCCAAAGTGCTCTGTACATCCGTGTACACCAGGAACTCCACCCTTCTGCACAGAGAGATCCACATATCCGTTAGCGACAACAAAGTTGGTTAATCTTTTCGCCAACACAGCGAGGTATATCTTCCCCTGAATGTTTCCTAGCGATATAGGCCGTCCTGTGCTGGGTCCAAAATCTCCATCCGCCTTAGGAATGTAGATCCCTTCAAAGTACCTACAGTTGTCTGGGTACTCCTCAGCCTTGTAGCCTCCTCTCAGCACATGCCACAAGTTCTGAGATATTCCTGGACACCTCTTGTACACCGTATACGGGATGCTGTTGTTACCAGGTGAACTCTTACCTCTGGCTTTCTTAATAACCTCGTCGAACTCCTTCTTGGTTATATTCCTGATGTCAAACCCCACAGTTGGGCTAGGAGCTGCCTCAGGTAACCCATTCAGAACGCCAAGAGGAACTGCCCGACTGGCATCACTATACGTATTAGACAGGTGGTTGTCTAACTCCTCCTTACTACACTTTAACTCTCCCACAGGGCTTGGTTCAAGAATACCTTTAATAGCCTTGAAAGGATCTCGAGTAAACCCACCTCTATGTCTCCTCACTTCTCTCTGCTTCTTCCTCCTTGCCTCTGCTCTTCTCAACTTACACAGCTTCTCTGCCAGGCCTCTAAGCAAAGCATTGAAACCATCCTTTACAGACTGGGAACAAGCTTTCCTGGCTTTCCTCCTCAGCACTCTCCTCTCAATGACCAACTTATCAATCTCCTCCTGTCTCCTGTTGGCAAACCTGAGACCTTTACCTGACTCTGCACCATCAATCACGAGCCCAAACCATTTCACACCATCATCATACACCGTGTCGCAATGGCTCACCATCTTCTCCTGGAATGGCTTCCCCTTCTGCTCCTGTCTCACTCTCTTACTAACACTCACATCAAACTCTACCCACCTCTCATCCTTTGCGGCCGGCCACTTCACCTTGGGCTTCTTAGGGGCAGGTGGGTCAATAGAAGAACTCTTTGAAAGAAGGGCCTGGATATCCCTGGCACTGTGGTTATCGTCCTGGCCAGGTACCTCCACCGAACTTACAGATGCAACATCTAACGGTTGCTCCCCTTCCCAAGAGCACTTCATCCTTCCTCGATGAATGTTCCTACCCCTTTCCGTTGTAAAGCGTCGACCACACACGCAGCTAAACTCCTCTGCTACATCAGAATCAGGGGTCGAGAGTTCTCGACTGTTTGTATAAGTCCTTTTCTTACTTAGTTACTGTGACTTGGTGCTAACTTATTATTGATGGTTACTTAGTTAAGGTGACTTGGTGCTAACTTATTATTGATGGTTACTTAGTTACTGTGACTTGGTGCTAACTTATTATTGATGGTTACTTAGTTACTGTGACTTGGTGCCAACTTATTATTGATGGTTACTTAGTTACTGTGACTTGGTGCTAACTTATTATTGATGGTTACTAAGTTACTGTGACTTGGTGCTAACTTATTATTGATGGTTACTAAGTTACTGTGACTTGGTGCTAACTTATTATTGATGGTTACTTAGTTACTGTGACTTGGTGCTAACTTATTATTGATGGTTACTTAGTTACTGTGACTTGGTGCTAACTTATTATTGATGGTTACTTAGTTACTGTGACTTGGTGCTAACTTATTATTGATGGTTACTTAGTTACTGTGACTTGGTGCTAACTTATTATTGATGGTTACTTAGTTACTGTGACTTGGTGCTAACTTATTATTGATGGTTACTTAGTTACTGTGACTTGGTGCTAACTTATTATTGATGGTTACTTATTTACTGTGACTTAATGCTACCGTATTATTGATGGGTACTTAGTTACTGCGACTGGTTACTAAGTTACTAAATTACCTCTGATTTGATAGACGTCGTTAGCAAGATGTCCTCCCTGCCCATCGCCTGTGCACAGATCACTCTTACCATTAACTTTGTACATGGTACCTGCCTGAGCTGAACTCATACAGTATCCACCAGCTTGTACCGCGAAAAATTCGAAACCTGAAATGTTTTTGTGAGCAATGATTGTAGAAAGTAGGAAGTGTAGTTTTAGTTTAGTTCTACTATTTAGTGTTCCAGTATAAATTTATCCAGTATAAATTTATATGTGCATCAACATGAAAATTTCATGATGCTAATAAAAGGTGGGGAGAATGCTCCCCTAGAGTAATTTTTAAGCATGAGGCTACAGAATGAGTCTCCCATTACATTCTGTACTGACATACTAACATTATACTGAGTACTATGTTTTCGTCAGAGTAAGTAGCTAGAGCTCCCTTGCGGAGCTCGCGGTAGTTACAACCTCGCGCCTTCATGATGACCGACAACAGCTTCTAGCAGTTCGAACGAGACTGCGCAGTTTATATCTAATATTTCTCCTGTATGAAGCATACGGATCCGTTTGGACGTAATCCATATAAGACATAAGTATTATATACAGCATAAATATTTAGGATACTCGAGCGTTCTGCTGTCACGGGACTATAATGCGTTCATTATATGTGCTCCCTGTCGTCAGCCACCACAAATATGGTATGTAAAAGTAAGCTATATACTGCTCATTTGTGGAAGATATATCCTTGTGTTTGGAATTGTATAGCCGTGCCCAGTGGGCTCATGAAATTATGCGAGATCTTTGTCTTATTGGATCTGATGATCAGGGATTAAGTACCAGATAAGATGATAACAATACAATTATTTACTTAATTATGTAGTTAATTAAGAGTGGAACTCAATGGCTGATATCGAGCACGATTGTGTTGTAATACCTGGTTGAAAGCCTCGAGCAAAGGAATAACTACGCTTCCTAAACCTATTAAAGGTAATTCAGGTATCGTATCGGACATTCGACTTGTAAACACTATACATGGTAAAATGTCAAAGCTTGTTGGTAAAACTTAAATAGATTTTCCCGCAGAAATAGAGTAAAATGCTATTTGATGATGGTAATAACATCGGTAGAAACCAAAAGAACGTTACCATTAGTTTTGAAGCCTACTAAAACACGACTAGGGTCATAAAGCGACTGCAGTGATAAAAAGTGGGGAGAGTACTCCCCTAATGTTACTTTTATGCTCGATTAGGTACTAATCCCGACTGATGTAAAGATAGCAAGTCTTTACACCCGAAAGATACTCCCACCTCGTGCGTGATTGACTGACGACAGTTTCTAGTAATCCGAGCGAGTCTGCGCAGTTTATATCCATACTGCAAGGATACCCAGCAAACGAATTCGCCTTATTTTTGGTTTTCCATAGCAGCATGCAATATATTATATCCTCGCTCTTTTCCTAGGTACCAGTCACGGGAATCGGGTACACCCGGTCGCAAGCCATCACGGAAGTGAAGAGTAAAAGTTTTAAATATACTGGTCTTCTGTGAAAAATAAAACATTGTGTTTGGAATTGTATAGCAGTAGGCTCCAATAGGGCACGATTGACGATTGTGTTGTAATATATTATTAGTGATTAGAACCCTCGAGGAAACAACTTATGTTATGTACTGTCAAGGTCACCCAGCTAGAGCTCTCGTATTGAATTACTCAATTAGCACTGCATTATCTTGTTGGTAAAACTTTAATAAATTTACCGGATTCAAAATAATAAAATGCTACTTAACGCTGGTAACATTAGCAACAACTAAAATAACATTACCACTAGCTTTAGCAGCCTGTCTGCACTTCTCCACAGGATTCTCTCTGTAGTAAGGTTCCCCGTCTAGCATGGGATGCTGACCCTCGTGTTCTAGAGACGGTATAGCACGTGACGCAGTGTCTCTATAGCAACCCAGTAACTGTAGCCCTGACTCTGTGGGAGGATGTTGTTAACTATGGGGCCACAACATGGTGTGTTTAGTTAGGCAACACTGAAATCAGCTGAGAGAAATAGTCCGCTCTCAAGATCTATCTAACCTGTTATATTGTAGACACTGTTAGCCCAGGGTCCCCCTGTCCCGTTATCATTACAGTCAGTAGAAATTCCGTACATGTCGTAGGAGTCCCCTGCGTTTAATGAGCTGGAACACCAGCCTCCTGCTTGCACAGCAAACACCGTCCAGCCTGGAATGTATTGAACAAATTAAAACTTTATCAGATTTAACCTAAATTTTGGGGCTTATTTCTGTCGCACTCAGAAATCATGATGTAAATCAAAGATATCGTATGACAACATATTGATTAAAAGTATTCATAATCTACAAAATCAAATACTGATAAATATTTAATCTTTCCTTTAATTAAATCGAAGATACTGAAAGTATTAATGAATTACTTATAAGGTATGTATATTGTATATTGTATAGCATACTTGCTTAAGACTATTAAATTTGATTTAGGTAGCAGGAACATTCCATTTGTAAATACAGACGATTTGTACAATTTAAGACTTTTAGCCTCTGATAGAGCGGGATGGAAGAAGTTGTTATAGCTTGTGTATCAGTTTTTCTTTTTTTCTGGCTACTTATCAGATCTTTAAGATGTTCATTTATGTTCTATTTTTGATTTGAATAAAGTTATATAATAATAATAGCATAAAACCAGCATTTAACATTCAGTAAAATGATAAGCAGTGTTTACCTTTAGACTCAGCAGCCAGTTTGCAAACTGATATAGGATCCTCTCTAGCAGTCCAATGTTCGTCTGATACAGGGTTGCCACCCTCTAAACTGGGAATAGCGGCTCCCTGCCCTGCAAATCCTGTATCTAACCAGCATCCCAGAGGGATGAGACCGTTATCACACGTCAGGAACACATCCTCCGTGTGCGCGCAGTTGTGGTTGTCGGTGACGTAGGTGCAGTTGGTGAAAGGGGAGGTGTTGGAGGGACATTGTACGTCGTCTAGTATCACATCTAGCGTAGCTTGTATACTCCACCTTTAAGTAGGGTACTGTTAGTCAACAAACAGCTGTAAGTAAAGTACTGTAGGTTAACTATTCTGTTTTTGTGATAGATAAGAAACATGCGTCAAGAACACAATATTTTTAAAGCTTGGAAGAAACTACTAGATGTACCAATCCACCACTAACTACACTACAGGGCGCGCCACACAATAACACGTGTGTTACCTGTCGCCATGACTCCAAGAAGAAGAGCATTGGTAACCCATGGTCTTGCAAACAACATTAGCACTCTCGTCTGAGAAGAGGTCATCACACACAGTGCCAGCACCAGTCTCTGAGTCAGTGTATCCAGGACTGTGTGCCACCAGTAGACCGTGACCAGTGGTTGAAGCTGTTCCGTTCTCGTTCATTAGAGAGAAGGTGGGAACACACTTTGTAGCTGAGGTACGGGTTTTATTTACGAGAGGTTTCATTTTACACCTTTTTAAAATCTTTGAAAATAATTTACAAAGTTGAATGCACAGTTAAATGGAAAATACTACTATAAATAGTCTGGAGGGGGATTATTCAAAACATATAAGTGACACGAAAAGTTTGTTTTTGTAGTACTATAAATAGTACATTATATTATACAAATATGACACCTACTTGAGCTGGTCTCCCTGAGGAACACCTCCACCTCCGCAAGAGACAGCGCCTCTAAAGCAGCCCCCTCAGTCCCTCCCACTATCTCCACCTGGTTAGTTACCAGGTTCAAACCGGTAAACTCGAACTTAGACATGTCTCCTCCCCCTGCCATGCTAACTGTGCCGATGACCTGTCCGTTAGCGTGTATTGTAGCTCCAATAAGTCTCTCCTGACAACAGTCTGCCCTGTTGTAGATCACTATGGAGCCTACGGTGTACTCTCTGTCCCAGGTTACCCTCCACACGTGACCTGTAGGATCGTTCAGGACTGTGTGCGTCGTGGAATCGTCTCTGTAAGGAGTGTCTTATATTATTTATCTCTACACTCTACACAATTAGTTCCAAGAGAGCAAGCGCTAGATGATAAAAGTCGAGAAATAACACATTTGTAAATTGTAAAGTCATAATAGTTGATGAATAAGATTTAAGTGAAGTTAATGTGTTTCTTACGTAAAGTAGCTGCCGAGAGTGTTGCCGTCTATAGCTTTCCAAGCTCCTGCATCTAAATGAGTGCCACTCTGACTAGCCACCCCTACACGTGCTATATTCTGTACTCCGCCACATGTCAGGTATACGTCGTTAATATGGTCACAGTCGTGGACCAAGTTGTAGTTACATGCAGTAAGGTTTTTGGCCCCCTCTTGGCACTCCACATCAGACATCATGATGTCGTATGTGCTCTGTATAGCCCACGGATCAGTGGCATCTTGCTCAGCGCTACTTACTGCTAGTGCACATGAGTATCCCATTGTTCTGCAGAACGCCATCCCGTCCACCATTTCGAACCCTTTGTTACAAACTGTATCTGCCTGAAGGAATTAATAAATTTTAGCTTTCAGAATTCAGCTAGTGGACTGTGTTTTTAGCAAAATATTTAAGGGAATAAGTAACAAAAAGTATTCAGTAAAAGATAAGATAACTTACTATGTCGTCGCCTTTGGAAGTGACCAGAAGTAGACCCTGGCCAGTAGTAGAGAGCATTCCCTCATTATCCACAAGTTGGGCACTGATCACCGCCCCGCTAGTCAAACACTTGTGGGAACATGTCAGGAACACGTCCTCCGTATGACCGCAGTTGTGCGCCAGATCAAATGTGCACGTGGTAAAGTTATCTGACTCGCAGTACAGGTTGTCCATGGCTATGGTGTAACTGTTCTGGATCTCCCACGAGGAGTCACCGGAGGTCCAGGACAGCGCGCACGGGTAGCCCATCTCGGAGCATACTGCTGCCGCGCTTACATCAGACCACCTATCATCACACACTGTTCCAGTCTAGGAGGGGAGGGGTTTTAGGAAGTGGAGTTTACAAGATCACACAAGGTTACCAAATAAAGTAAAGTTGGTTTATCGTGCTACTTTTCTTCCTAAAAAACGTAGTATATATTCTACTTAAGCTTACTTTTAAATCATTACGTACGGTTTGTACAGTAGTTGCAATGATTACTTAGTACTTACGGTTTGGACAGTAGTTGCAATGATTACTTAGTACTTACGGTTTGTACAGTAGTTGCAATGATTACTTATTACTTACGGTTTGTACAGTAGTTGCAATGATTACTTAGTACTTACGGTTTGTACAGTAGTTGCAATGTTTACTTAGTACTTACGGTTTGTACAGTAGTTGCAATGATTACTTAGTACTTACGGTTTGGACAGTAGTTGCAATGATTACTTAGTACTTACGGTTTGTACAGTAGTTGCAATGATTACTTATTACTTACGGTTTGTACAGTAGTTGCAATGATTACTTAGTACCTACGGTTTGTACAGTAGTTGCAATGTTTACTTAGTACTTACGGTTTGTACAGTAGTTGCAATGTTTACTTAGTACTTACGGTTTGTACAGTAGTTGCAATGATTACTTAGTACTTACGGTTTGTACAGTAGTTGCAATGTTTACTTAGTACTTACGGTTTGTACAGTAGTTGCAATGATTACTTAGTACCTACGGTTTGTGCAGTAGTTGCAATGATTAATTAGTACTTACGGTTTGTACAGTAGTTGCAATGATTACTTAATACTTACGGTTTGTACAGTAGTTGCAATGATTACTTAATACTTACGGTTTGTACAGTAGTTGCAATGATTACTTAGTACTTACGGTTTGTACAGTAGTTGCAATGATTACTTAGTACCTACGGTTTGTACAGTAGTTGCAATGATTAATTAGTACTTACGGTTTGTACAGTAGTTGCAATGATTACTTACGGTTTGTACAGTAGTTGCAATGATTAATTAGTACTTACGGTTTGTACAGTAGTTGCAATGATTACTTAGTACTTACGGTTTGTACAGTAGTTGCTATGAGAAGCCCTGATCCTGATGTGGATGGTGCTCCGGTGCTTGTAACGAGAGAAAACTTCGTAGCTTTAGTGATGGAGCAATCATCTCCTGATAACAAGATATGATTAGATATTTAGAAGGAAAAAACAGCAACAACAGTTTATCTACATCCCTCATATTATTATCATCGTGCTAAGTTCTATAATTTGACTGAACGATGTCATCGCATGGTCCAGAAACAACTATAACTGACCGCTGGCGCAGGTAAGAAACACATCCTCAGAGTGGCCACAATTGTGACTGACACTGTAAGTGCAGTTCTCAGCGAAGGTCAAGTTCTCCCCGTTACTACAGATTACGTTATCTAGGACTATGTTAAATCCTCCCTGTAACTCCTCCCATTGTTCACCGCTGTGTGGAACCGGTATTTAAATAATATTGATAATTAGTAATGAAAACGCCAATATTACTGACAAAAATCACAAGAATAACATAACAACAACTGAACAACACATTAAATAATTACGCTAGATCAAACTTAATTTCTGAACTTTAAAATAATAACATGAATTTGATATATTATTTGAACACTGAAAATAAAACACTCAATGATCTTACCTGTGGAAGGACTGAGCGCAATCGAAGTTCATCGCCTTACAAATCACATTACCCGCTATAAGGGAGAACTCATCATCACACACTGTCCCTTTCTGAAATAATAATTCGGGGCTTTTTGATTACGACGAAGACTCTCATACTTAATAGCCCCTGTTACTTCCTACTTATAGGTTGGTCCACTTGAAAAGCCACCATTTTGAATAGGTGAATTGTTTAAATCAGATTAATGGGCCGTACTCTGTTCCATGGAAAGACTTACCACTTGAATAGAGTCTGCTATGTCTCTGGAAGCAAGCAGTAGTCCTGACCCGGTTTCTGTTGCGTCCTCTCCTGCACTGTTTGCCAAAGAAAACGATATTGTCTCCTTCTCGCAATTCTCAGCTGAAGAGATTAAATTTGTAACATTTGGCTACAATTTAACATTGCGCTAAATTTTAACATTTGATACTTGAATATTGTCAATGTTTTCCTGTTTTATTTGGAGGATAGACGAGGGCCTACTTACAACAAACGAGGTGCACGTCCTCTCTGTGGTTGCAGTTGTGTCCACCCGAGCTGAAACTGCAGTTTAGAAAGTTGAGGGTATCGTCGACACACTTCACATTGTCCAACATTATAGTCATGTTCATACTCGTTTGTAATTCTGTTTCCCCCTGAATAGTGACCAGTTTAGTTTCCAACACTAGACATGCAAGTGAACGCTTGGACGCCAAAGTGAAAGTGAAAGTAAAATTAAAAGTAAAATTTAGTGTGCTCACCCCAGCATTCCAGTAGGCAGAGCAAGCGAATCCCATCTCTTTACAGATAACAGAAGCGGAGATATCAGTGAAGCTGTCGTCACACACTGTACCGTTCTGAAACGTTACTCGTTATTCAATAAGCTTCTAGACACCATTTTGAACATACTGCTATTTTTCAGTTGTTATAGGATGCCCTTATTTTAAGGGGGAATCTTAGGTTGCTTAAACGACTCAACTACGCTCCCCCCTAGCCTTTAAGTGTATAAAGGAAGTGAAATAAAAACCTCATGAGTGAGACTTCTTGAAGCGACAAGCAGTCCAGTTCCAGTTGTAGTCTTTGCACCAGCATCATCCACAAGATAAAAGTTGTAAGTGCAGTCATACGCACACGACAAGAATATGTCCTCAGAGTGGCCACAGTTGTGTTGGGTATCGTACTTACAGTCCGCAAACGTTCTGTTGGCGCTGCCACACAGGATATTATCAAGTGCAATATCATAAAGGTTCTGTTGGTCCCAGTTAGCTCCCGCATGCCAGCCTACACTGCATTCGTAGCCCATCTCCTTACAGATCAGAGTAGCGGAGATGCTGTTGAAATTGTCATCACATACTGTTCCAGCCGCCTGCAAAATATGCATGTTAGATAACATAAATAGTACTTATCAGGGTGTTTGTTGTAGTAGTAGTAGGTAAACATTACAGTATGTCAGTAAAATATCATTATCATGTTTTCTTAAAGCGAGCATTCATAAAAGCGATTTCAATTCCCAATAAAGGGGCTTTTGTAAAAACATCTTTCTATTTTTGGCTGTTTTCTATTTTAAAAAATCGACCCTAAGCTGTAAAGAGATGTAGATCTCAACACATTTGAGAAAACAACTGACCGCTTCATGGAAAGATCTAGCAGCTATGAGCAGCCCTGATCCATTGTTAGTTTTCTCTCCATTCCTATCAACCGTGAAGAAGGAGAAGGCAGCTCGAGAACACTGATCTTCAGTCCCGCAGTGCAGGAATATATCCTCGCTGTGTTTACAGTTGGGCTCTATAGAGTAACTACAGTGTCCCTCTCCGGACAGACCCTCCGTACACTCCACATTGTCCAGTACCACTGAGAAGTTAGCTTGCACCGCTGGCCACGGCTCGTCTGGTGTTTCCCCAGCTGACTCGTAGAATACAGAGCAGCTGAATCCCATTTGTTTGCAGATTGTGTTGGCTGCTGCTTCCGCAAAGCTGTCGTCGCACACTGTGCCTTCTTTACCCTGGAGTGATAGTGTTACCATGGTTACTAGCGGTTACTAGTGGTTACTAGCGGTTACTAGTGGTTACTAGCGGTTACTAGTGGTTACTAGTGGTTACTAGTGGTTGCTAGTGGTTACTAGTGGTTATAAGTGTTACCTTAGTTACTATTGGTAACTACTTTTAACATAGTTACTAATTTACTTTCTAAGCATCACTCAATCTCGGGACTTGATATTCACTCAATGTTCTAGCCAAAATGTTGCTGGCTTGCTTTGAATCGCGATAAATGTGAAACCTTATCTTCGCCAGAGACTTTCTCTTTAGCTATGAGGAGTCCACTGCCGTCAGCACTCTTCTGCCCATCTGATCCTAGAGTGTAGAACTCGTACTTATCTGATATACAACCTGCAGGAGAGTGGTTGTCATGGTAACGAGGAGGGAGGGATATAGGCACGTGATACTGCGCACATTCACGTGTGATTATTATACAGTATAATTATTACTCACCACAAGACAGATGGATATCCTCGTTGTGATCACAATTGTTGACTATTTTCCAAGAGCAACTCTCGGTGAAGCTAGAGTTGGGCGCTCCCACATTGCACGTCACATCGTCCAGCAGGATGTCCATGCTACTCTGAAGGGGCCACTCGGTCCTCTTGGCCCAGCTAGCCGCACAAGAATGGCCCATGGCCCGACATATCACTAGTGCTGCCTCCCCACCGAAATTATCGTCACACACTGTCCCGTTCTGAAATGTTCAACTGAAGTTTACAGAAGGACCTTTTTATTTATTTTGAGGGGGGAAGACAGTAACCCCCTTCTGTTTCAGATAGGTTATGTTTTATATCCATTAAACTTTCAAAAATATCGCATGGATTTTTTAAACTGATTTACCGCAAAACCCGATTTACCGCGAATTTTTCCCTTTCCAAAGTACGCGGAAAATCGGGGTTTTACTGTACTAACTCTGCAAACACCCATTCTGCAGACATTTCACTAACTCCGCGACAGAAGCATTTTTCGTTTCGAAAGGGGGGAAGACAGTTTTACAAGAGTTGGATTTTAGAACTCACCTTGCCGGTGCCTAATTTAGTAGCGACCAGTAGTCCCGAGTTGTTGGTAGAAAGTGCACCAGTACTGTCCACTAGTTTAAAATCAAACTGACATAACCTATCTGAAACAGAAGGGGGTTATCAGAGCGTAACTAAGGTTACCACGGTTACCAAACAACTGATTTCAATTACATAACAAAGGTTACTAAGTAACTTAGTGAAACTGAGAGTTACTAACCGCATCTTAGTGTTATGTCCTCGTTATGTCCACAGTTGTGGTCCGAATTATAGCTGCAGTTGGAGAAGGGCTGGTTCACATCTAAACACTGCATGTTATCTATTACTATGTCCAAAGACTCCAAGTAGGGACTCGGCGTACCTGATAATGATAATTTGATGTTTTACAAAAGTTTCGCTTTCATTTTCATTTTGTAGTTCATTCGCACAGTACAGTAGTTGTAGAAAGATAGAAATGAATAATAACACGTTACCTGTTCCCCAATATTCTGCGCAGGTGTAGCCCATTTCTTTGCAGATAACAGTAGCAGATATATGTGTAAACCCGTCATCACATACCGTTCCTGGAGGCTGGGAACACAAACTTTAGTTACCTTGGTTACTAGAGTCAGTAACCAAGGTTACTATAATATTCTATAATCTAAGTCACTATAATCAGTAACCAAGGTCGGTAACGTTACCAACCCAGTTACTTGTGACATGAAGGGTATCATTGTTTGGGAGTTGGTTAGTGTTTTTCTTCCTTAAGGAGACTGATTATGGTCATTTATACAAAACGATATATTTCGTCTGTAATCTGATGGATATCATCGTAGCATATAATTCCTCTAACTCCTCCTGGCCCCCTAAAACAGTATAAAACATGTTGTTAGTGAACTCACCCCGTCGTGTGTAGGGTCTCTAGCTACCAGAATTCCTGTACCATTCTGTGTCGGACTCCCGTTCACATCTACAAGATCAAACACAAAATTTCCGCCAGTATGTTCGGGTGGCACGAATATGGAGCCCTCTGATATCACCAACAATCCTGGAATATTTCTCTTGGTTCACTCACCCGCAAACATTTCACTTACTTTGCAGACATTTACAGTAAAACCCCGATCTACCGCGGGTAATTCCCTCCCCCGAATTTTTCTTCAAAATTTGCCTTTTTCCGACGAATTTGACACTAATACTATTTCCAACAATTTGAAAGTTTTACCATTATCTTGAAATACGAAATTTTATACAAGCTGCAGGGTAAGTAAAGATTCAAATAGTTAGTTTGATAAAGTTATTGAACAGTTGTTTCCCCGATTGTCTGGACCACCACTTTTCACTTCAGTATGATAGTTAGACGTTCAGAGGAAGATGATTATTCAGTATTATATGTAATGAAATCCTATCGCTTCATAATGTATAGATTAAATTCATGACGCGTGATCCCTTAATGCAAAAGCAGCAATAATTTTAATTTTGATCTGAATTCTGTTATTAAATTACTGAGTGTATCATTAAACGTTCAAAATTATCGCTTTTATGGATTTTTAAACCGATTTACCGCAAAACCCGATTTACCGCGAATTTTTCCCTTTCCAAAGTACGCGGAAAATCGGTGTTTTCCTGTACTAACTCTGCAAACCTACTTTGCAAACATTTCACTCATTCAGGAAATATTTCACTAACTCCGCGACAGAAGCATTGTTCGTTTCGAAATTCAAAAGCTTTACTTGATTATTATATAACAAATGATAACTACCTATTACCTAATGTGTAGCAGACGACAGATAGACTTTGGAAGTTTCGTATTAACATTAGACTAAATTGTAATGTGTGTGGTCACTAGTTTGTTGAGTGATCTCGTCTTCTGATTTTAAAGTGATCTTCCTGTTCCCTCTACAGTTGGTTCATTGCGTCCTGGTTGTGGTAGTTAAGATAATGAAAGATAGGGCAGGAATGAGAAAGGGAGGGTATGGGAGGAAAGGGAAAAAATAGGGCTAGGGAATGGGATGAGGAAATGCGGGAAGGGAAAGGGAGGGACGAATGGGAATGATAAGGAAGGGATGAAAAAGGCAGGGTTATGGTAGAAAGGGATGAGGAGGGGACGGAATAGATGGGAAAGACTGGGAAAGGGATGGGACGGAACGGACGAGATATAGAGAGAAAGAGAGGGAAAGGGATTAGAGAAGAAGGGAACGGGAAGGAATGTTAGGATCAGACGAAGCAACGGATGGTTTATCAAAAGCTGCATGAGCTGACAGTGTGTGTTGACCAACAAGCAATGCAAAGTAAGAACGCTAAGTTTAATAAACTGAACAAACAAAAAGGAAAGGAGCTGGCTGACTGCAGTATAAACAAGGAAGTAAATAGCGCACTCGGAATTTGTGCAGTACACCGATTATTATATTTCTGTGTCGTAAAACGCATTAGGATTGCGTATGACGCAATAGATGCGCAGAGTCGGTACACGATACATGTAATTCTACTCCCCAGTTAATTCTAATCAGATTTTACCTCGCCAAAATACACAACAGAACAAACTATAAACACAAACATACATGCTCGTGATGCTGTAACAAATAAAAGCTAGCACTTGATTAACGCGCTATTAATGTAGTGATTTAATCAACTGATGGACAGGTGTGGGGAGGGAGTGAGGTATAACGTTACAAATAAACAGTGAACACACCACAACAATAAATATCATAGTGGATGAGCAGCCCTGAATAGCTCCTGAAACACTAACTCAGTGCTGAGTGTGCTTTCTGCAGCTATGTCATCTTACGTATAATCTCACGTAACTAAGGTTACAGCGAACGTTACTAAGGTTACAGTGAACGTTGCTAGTGTTATGGTGACCGTTACTATAGTTACATGCTACATCACTGTGTAGTGTAATTAAAATCTACAAACACTCTGTTTTTAATTGGAACATAAACTAATAACTTGCTTACACAGATGATATTAAACTCAAGTGCTCTAACTAGTAAATATATATGATAACTAAATATCTTAACTACGGGCTGTCGAAAAATCGGGCAGTGAGGATTTTTCAAACGAACCTGATTTTTCTCAGAATCGGAATATTACTCGTGAGTCAAAGGTATTGAATTATGCAATTCAATTTGGCGCTGGCGCATATTTCACACTTCATACTCACAAGAACATAGATCCAATAATACTCGACTGTAAATGTTTCTAGAAAAGTAGAAAAGTCATGAAATTCCTGGATTAACTATTTTTTCTTATTCTATCCGCCATCCGGGATTAATTTCTCGACGGAAGGGCTACGCCCGGCTACTGCTTACAAGTTACGGCTGATATTACTCAGTATAAATAAAGTTATAACATTATTCATACTTTAATAAGGGTACGCGAACTGTCTGAGGAGATTAAGAAGTCAGAGAAAGCGTACACAGAAAGTGTAGAGGAGCAACAAAACTCAGCACATACAGCATCAGAACTAGCGAGACAAGAATACACACACTCTCTCTGCAAATTACAGGTAACTGATGGTGCTGGCCACTTAAGACAGTGTTCTTCGGTACAGTTTAAACCGTTTCTAGGTGCACTTTTATTTGTATATTTCTTGACAGTATATTTTAAAACTTTTTAATAAATCACATACTATTATACGTTTAATAAACGTATTGTAGCCAACCAACAGTATACTTTAAAACATTTATTAAGTCAAGACAATAAAATATACTTTAAAACTGTTTGTTACGTCACATGCTATGATACGTAAGGAATATTCGAATGTATATTTAAATGGGCAGCACGGTAAGAGAGCTGAAGAGGTTGAGTTTAACGTTGTAACGATAACAAACGATGGTTATGCACAGAAAGAAGACAATCACATTAAAATAAAATATATAGAACTAATGTATCTTATGTATGTTACACAAGATAATAAAACAAGTAGCTAGCGTCAATTGGTGTGAGGGTATAAGAAAAGAGAGCATATGTTTAAAGCAGTAATTATATACAAATATGTGGTACAAATATGTGATACACAAAAATATGACATACAAAAAACTGTTTGACCTATTTGTTAGGTTTTAAGGGCCATTCAAAATTTGGACACGAGTTTTGAAACATTCTGTACAGTATACACACATATGCTAAAATAAATGAGGAATTATTTTAATATTTTAAAATAATTAAGATTATTTTAAGATGTCTCTTATCTGAAAAAACTGCAACTGCAAAAACATCTGTATTGTTGTGTTGACAGTTGGAAGTGGTCCCTGAAACAAATTAAAATAACACTCTCCTCCTTTTCTATTAACTAGCAGGAACCCGTCAAACTCCACTTCAATTCAAACTAAAATCAAGATAAATTATAGTGGCAGTGCTTAAACAACACTAAAGAACAGACGTCAGACAATGATGTGTTGGAAAAGTAATGTGATGGACTCACTGGGTTTTGAGTTACAACCTTTTAGTCACCCTTACCTACTTAAGAGCAGATTTAAAACATTTTTAATATTTGTTAAAAAAAGGAAAAAAGGACACTTGGGGGTCCAAATTTTGGGCACTAAAATTCTTATTCCTTGGCCAATTTTTTATTTTTTCATAAGCATTTGAACCAGTCAAAAAGGTTTAAGTTCTATATCTTTTACGGTTTTTGCGAAAAGTCGTGTTAAAATTTATGCCGTGGTGTCAGTAAAATGGTACGGATATATAAATAAATATATATATATATTATATATATATATCGTCTCGCTTTATATATAGTGAGATATCTTACTGCTCATAAGTCATATGAGATTCAAAGATCTCAGAGGACTGATCTAAAACTGATAACCCAGGAACACCGCAATACTTTAAAAGTAACACGAAAAGTAACCCACAACCTTTGTTAGTTATGGAAATGAAAGACAGCAAATGACAGATACAAAGTAAAACGTATACCGAGCACAAGCATGGGTAGTAACCTAGTAACCGATTAAAATCCAGAATGCTGACTCAAGTTAACTAGGCCGATTTACCGCGTGACCACGTGACACTAACAAATATATCAGAGGCTAGCACCACTCACTTTCCCACTTTGGTAACCAGTACTACTAGATTAGAAACTCTACTTCCTTATTAACTTGACATGGCGGCCTGCTTTGAGTACGTCACTTATTAAATTTAAGATGGAGAAAACCACGAACAGGCCGGAATCATCTGTCTCTGGCTACATGGTTTATCACCGTATATGGTCATGTCACCTTGGTAACACTTCCATATAAGGTGATAATATGGTCCACAGAACAAGGCCCCTATAACTTGTTACGAGGGAATACTCTGTTATCAGTCAATAATTATTATGCTGAATATCCCAACCTCCTCGCTTTAATACCTCGCTACCTAAATAAGAAAATAACCCCGGTCAAGGATCGACCGGAACCGCTTTTTTGGCCGGGCCCGCGACCGGGACCGGAAAAAAGTGCTGGGACCAGGATTAAGCCGGGACCGGGAATAAGACTGGGACCGGAAATAAGACCGGGACCGGGAATACGACCGGGACCGGGAATACGACCGGGACCGGGATTAAGCCGGAATTGGAGGATTGGGACCGGGATCATAGCTAAGAAAATTTCATTTCAATATTCTTTGATCTTATATAATGTATATAAATAATGTATAACTATAATGGTGTTGGTGCAGTATTTAAATAATACCTTATCGGACATAATTGTCACGGACAAATTTTTCACGGACCAAATTTTTCACGGACATAATTATTCACGCTCATGACCGCCCAAAACTTTCCAGAAAAATATGAAAATTGTTGGCGATTTTTTAATAAGTGTTTTACTCTCTCAGAGCGACTCTAATTTACTTACAAGGCAACTGTTTTTACTTGTAGAGAGTAATCTCAAGCTGCCAAAGAGTTTCTGATCTCTAAGTCTAAGAGAGAGGTGCAGTGGGCTTCGGACAAAGAAAGAGTACAGTGTGGACAGTGATATCGAAAAGGGAAGAAACAGTGATACTGACGACTCAGTCAGAGAGATTGACGATGATGCAGCTTCCTTAAGAACAACAAATTTAGTCTACCATAAATTTAGTCAAACTTTTGACTCTAATTGTTGTAAACCAAATTTCATGAGACTAAATTTTTCGGCGACTAATTTTAAAGGAGACCAAAATTTCAGTAGAGCATATAATTATATGACATGAATATTGAATATTATAAAGCTTACATTGTTTATAGGGCTTTATAATCAATATAATGACATCACCGTTCCTACTGCACAAAACCGTACCAAATTCCTATTGCACTTAAAGGGTTAGAGCTCCTCTTGGACATTATATTTTTAATCGATCCATCCCAATGCATGCTCTGTTGAAACGGCTGAAGGATCATATCGACATAAACTACGTCGTACCGACAGAAATGGTAAAATCGAAAAAGGGCGAAAAAGAAACTGAACAGTGTACTGAAGAACTAAGTGCTTTAGTGATACAGAGTCACAAACTCTGGATCTGATGTTATTGAAATTCCTGAGTAATGCATTGCAGCTTAATCTGTAATGCTCAGACGGGGTAGACTAAATTTGTTGTAAATGGAATGGAAAATGGTCTCGAAAAGTCGAAAAGCCATAAAATTATGGTGACCAAAATTATGGTAACCAAATTTATTGTGAACCAAATTTATTGGCCCTAAGGTACTTGGAACCAAGTGATCAACTCCTACGCAGTACTTCAGACGAGCCCGGATCTCCGAACAACTTGGTATGGAACGAGGTTACTAGATATTTGAAGGACACGCTGGAGCCCCAGAGACGTAATCACTTGGAGTTCTGGCGAAAATAATCACACTCTGTACCCCATCTGAACCATCTTGTCTGGATCTATCTGTGTCCAACTCCTTTCTAAGTCGCAAGTGAAAGGTCTTTCAAGTTGGCGAAAAGATTAAGCCGGGATCCCGGTCGAACCTTGAGTCCCCGGTTATATTTTAGAATTGATATTGCAGTTTAAAAGCGAAATCAAGGAAATAAATATGCACTGAGAAATGGCTTCTAGAAAATAAAACAAATCAATTTTATTTTTCGTCCAGCTGTTTACAATTCAGATAAGATGAACGATGATCAAATAAAGATGTAACCGGATAGTGCAGTGTGAGAATAGTCGGATATATTTTTCTCTAGTCCACGTCCGTCAGAAGTGATACTTCCGGAGAATCGATCACCTTATTCTGTTAATTAATTTACTGCAATCATTTTTTTAGAAATTATAAGCACTTGAACTAAGTTGGTAGCCGGTAGGTTACGATTTATGAACAGTTCCCAGTCATTAGGTGAACATTTCTACATTCTAGTGCAAAACATTCAGAATAGGTTTTAATAGGTAAACATGGTGATGGTAACCATAACAGACACAAAACAACAAGCACACCCGTCGTGATTGTTTCTTTTCTTGTTTCAATGTTCAGAATATTCCGAATATTTTGCAAGAAGCATCCCTGGTCCTGTTCCTATAGAACTAGTTAATAAAAATTAAACTTGACAATTCACAATATGTGTCTGACAAGACAGTCTCTTTTACCACAGTCTTTTTTGTAATATGCGAACCTAAAAATAAACATTCCGTCAATTTAGGGCGACAAGTAACTTAAGCGATCTTAAGAATGGGGTGGAACAAAAGAAAAACTGAGAAATTTGGAACATCGAACCCAATGTTAGGTTGTTCAATAACTCAATAATATGTTAATATTCATAAAAAATATGATGAATGATATCATCGTAATTTTATGAACGCTAGTTTTCCTATTAGAAAATAGTCGCGGAGTCTAGGGTATACAAATTACTGCGTATCACTGTAAATTAACGTATATGATGGTTCATTCACCACACCATCAATATTTTCCGGCAAATATTGGCATTTTGCCAAAATTTCCAGTCTGGAGAATGAAGAATATATCAAAATTTCCTCTTTATAACTTTATAGCCTGATTATTGATTGAGTGATGTTATTTTCAGGAGAAGAAGGGTGCACTAGAAGGGGAACTGAAGGAGAGTAAAGATACGAACGATGAACTGCAGAGAACGTTGGATAATAGAGTTTGGGTACGTTTAAATAGTCCTAGAATGTTCTAGAATCTAGAAATAGATAATGTTTTAGTTTGTTAACAATAATTAATATTTAATAGTCTGGTTAAGAATGTGTAGAAAATCAAATCCAGATAACAACGGTCATCAACAGGGTAGAGTGTAAACAGTCACAACTTACAACAACTTTAACAAAAGGGAGAATGTTTATAAAATATTCTCTGGTAACGTCACACCGAATCTCGGAGACTGATGATACAATTTTCTGTGTAGTCATGACGTCACCACTACTGCAATGCAAATGATCTCACTACAAAGAAAACAACAGCTCTCAATAAAACGCAGAACAGAGCTTATTCAAACCCTGGTAGTTACCCGGTATATACCGCATTATAACGTACTAAAGGCTGCAGGGCGAGTATCAGATCACACTAATAAAATTAGAATGTGTGGTGTTATTTGAATGTACAGACTCTGTTAGTAAACACTATTGAGGCCTCCTCCGGAATTAAACTGAGGCAAAAGTTCGAGAAAAATCATATGGAACCCCACAGGGCAGATCGCTGAAAACTTCTCCTGTTTCACCGAACAAACGTATTTTTGAGACCAGCCCTGCCGTGTAATGAAATAGAAAACAATGAGATACTACTTTGTTAACTCCGAGTATTTACAAAACAGCATTAGGACTTATTTAAGTTAATGAAACGCTACATTCTGATTAATAATATCTACAGAACTAATTGACTGCGCAAATCTTATTTCCCAAACATTATAACTGGCTGGTCACACACATCTCAATTAAAATTACCCTAGGCTACTGTTTTCCAAGTCTTGTCCTGTGAGTAAAGTATGTGTGAGAAAGTTTTAATAAAATGATTGTATATTTACTTTTGAATTTTAAAAATATAATTTGAGAATGAAGTTTAAAGAAATTTTTAATTAGCACTGTATAGTTTAAGATATTTATAGCTTATTATAACCATTGATACAAAGGCCATAATCTTTCGCCAGCTCTCCAATATCCAACTTTAAGCTGCATTTTATATCCTTGAACTACACAATATAAACTAAAGAATGTTTTAGTGTCGACTTTTTATCACAACAAGACTGCAACCTATAATAACAACTATAAACAGAACCCCTAATGTCTGCTTACAATTTTTCTTCTAGTCCTAATCTGAGCCTTGTCTCTATAAACTTAACTGAACTAGCGTTTCGGTGTGTGCAAAAGCTTCCAGGCACGCGCATTCCTTGCCCCGTTAGTTACCTGTCCTTCCAAAACCAAACTAGCAGTCAAGGACAAAAAGTCAAACACCAAATGGGCATTATATTTTATGAATTGTTTTACATCTTTTCATTCTGTAAAAATGTGCTAAAATTAAATTTCTTGTTTCATTGAAATTTCTTGTTTCATTGAATTAAATTAACAGTCGGTGTCAAGTGAACGGAGACGTTTCAAGAACAATATGAGATGGCTGTTTGAATGTATTCCTCCGTAACTAATCTTTATTCGTTTGTCACAAATTCAATATAATGTGCAATAAATTGAACAATTCGGAAGAATAAACGACACACAGGGATCAATGTTCGACAAATGACTACTACGCTATAAAACTTTTGGGCAGAAGTTTGTCATACGAATGTCGCAGTATTCGTGAAATTGCACAACTTTTGAAATTTACACAACTATTCGTGAAATTACACAACTATATCAGTAGTATAGGGCTGATATTAGTCACATGAATATCGCAGTATCCGTAAATTTGTATCAAAGGCTGTCCGTGCCCTTTTCCCCTCGCTAAAGCCTAGTACATTGCACATAGAGATATTACACAATAAACTTACATAACAATAAGTACAGTCAAACCTCTCTGTACCGGGCCTCTCTGTACCAGGTACCTTGTCTCTTCTTTTCCCCGGAATTTAGATTAATTAACTCGTTTTGTGCAAGAAATATGATTTATCATACATAGGCCATATCGGATTTGGTGGTGATTTGGCAGGTTATTGAGTGACTGAAGTTGCTGGGAATTGGGATCATGTGAACCTCTCTATAGTTATACAGCTATACCGGTATTTTTCTATACCGTGCACTTTTCGAATATAAACTGGTATAATGTAGAGGCTTTACTGTAGTTATAGTGTGTACATTCGCACTTGTGCTGTAGAGGTCCCATTTCTAACACACCATCTTGTTAACTTACCCGCGTGAGATAAGATAACTAGGAACTATTATCTCTGGAAGAGAGTAAGAGCTGTAACTAACTCAATGACGAGGAATAATTGGCCTCAAAATACTGCTGAACCCCTCTCCACCCCCACCCAACCCTCAAACCCAACCCTCAAACCCAACCCACCTCAAGACTGTATTTTTGTTGTCAGGAACTAGAAACAGAGCACAAATCAGCGGTGACTAAACTGGAGAGACTTTGTGAGAAGAAACTGAGAGGTGCTGAAAAGAGTGCAGATAAGAAACATATGGAATCTCAGAACGAGGTCACAGAACTAAAGAGAGAGCTGAGGTTAGTAGATACTAAACAGACAGACAGTGTTAGTTGGTGTGTTAATCAGTGTTACACGGTGTTACAGAGTAATGATTGTTAGTGTTACAGGAGGAAAGATAAGAAGGATAAGAAAGATAAGAAAGTGTGAGCAGTGTGTTAGTGTTTATCTTACAGGAGAAAAGATAAGGAAATTTTAGCAATGTTTTTATGTTACAGGAGAAAAGATAAGGAAGTGAGAGAACTGTACGAAGCCCAGAAGCTTCAGAACCAACAATCCGAGAGAGCCCTGAACGATCTGAAGAAGGAAATGCAGAACAATACTGACAGGTAATTAACTAGTTAATTAGTGCTAATTGAGTGATTAATACTAAGAGATGTAAACTCTGTAAGTGTAACCAGTTATTAAACCTGTTATTCGAACTCTTAGAATTATATTAGATATATTTTTACATCGAGTTTTGACGCTTTATCTTTAGAATGCGGAAACATCTTATAATTGTTAAAAAAACAGCTCATAAAAATATTCAAACGGTAAACCAAACAACACTTATAATATTTGAAGCTGTTGGGATAGTTCCACAATCAATGATAATAAGTCAACGCCTTAAATATGAAATTAGGTGAAACTGCGTAACCATACTTCTAAAAGTTTATATTAGCATATAAATCAATCCTGTCTCTGTAGTACGCCCATCACATGCTTGTATAATATATAATTAAGTCGTTATGTAGTGGTAATGGGTCTAATTGCCCTGTACTTGGCACTGCTCCAAGTTATTTACATCCTGCTTCTAGAATCTTACTAGACGATATCGAGACTGTAGTCTGTATGTATCCAGATACTTTATTATCAGCTATCTTTTATGAAACTAATCGCTAATATGAATGTAAAATGACTGACGTTACCCTGGTAACCAGGTTGTATAAAGAAGTGCAACAACAAGTGTTTGCCCTGGAGGAAGATCTGGAGAAAGCGGCGTACGAGAGAGAGAAACTGGATGTGGAATACAACAAACGAATAAACGAGGAGAAACTTAGATGCGATGAGACGGTTAGTATTAGTTTGCCAACCGACCGACAGGGAGGGGGGGGGGGAGACAACAGGGAAACGTGAGAACAGGGAGTCAGACAAAATGAAAAAACAAAATCTTTAAAAAAGTCCACAGCGACAAATAAATCCAATGTGATAAAGGCGATTGCAAAAGAAAATATGAAGCTGCTAACAATGTTAGTAACATGAAATTTGAAGCGTTCTGTAAAAATTGAACAGCAGGGAACTCCAATTGTAGTGAAACAGAAGCCATATCGTGGATACGTAATGAAATACTGGACAGTATTTTTAGAAGGTGTATCAAATTAAAAACATGGCCAATGACGTGGGTGTCTCGTCTCCTACATCCATTCCCCGCGATTGCAGTATTACGGGCAACATTTTGTTACCATGGTGACAGTATTACGAGTAATATTTCTTAACAAAAACGGTGATCGTGTTTCAATGTTTGAGCTGTTGTTTCTGATGAAGTTAGAAGGCGGTATTTGTCGAATAAATCGTCGCTCATTTGAGTTTGATACCCACTGAATTAGTTTATGAAGGACTTTAATATTATGTACTCAGTATAAGGAAAGTTATTAATCTATTCAGTAAACAGTTTGTTGTTCAGGTGGCTGAATTACAGATGAAGACAGAACGAGAGAAACAAGAGCTGATAGAGAAATACCACAGCGAAATAGGAGACCTACAGAAAGTGCAGGACGAAGATAGGGTTAGTTATATATACAGTTAGTTGTATTATAATGGTTTAGAATAGATGTGGCCCGCATCATGTGGGATGTATTATATTATACACACTGCACATTGTTATTGTGTTAGTTATACACAGTGCAAATGAATAAGTGATTTTAAACGGAGCCTTGCACATAACCGTTAATCTTACACCCTAAAACCTACACTACTACAACTGAAAACAGTCCCAAATCGAACGTAAAATGACGAGGAATGAAAAGTCGGCTTTCGTCAATAAACAACATGAGATTTAGCAACAAGCTAAACAAAGATTACAACATAAAACACGATATATTACATAATATAATACGATATATTACATATAATAATAATAATACAAAGGGTACATATACCCTTCTGAGCTCTGCTAGAGCTAAGAGAGCAAAGCAAACCCAGGGAGAATGACAGAGAGTCTGCCCCAATGAGAAGAGTTACGATAACATTTAATTACTTGTCCCTACACAATAGAGCGCACCGTAACACAGTTCAACTACACGCTGTAGTAGATATTGAGCCGTATATTGATATGCATAATGTATGGGGGTACACGGTGTCATAGTTTAAAGGATATTATGATGTGCCGTGCAGTGAAGTAGCTTGCTAGTATCTAGTATCTAGAGGACGGAGTGAACAATATTTGTATGTCATTAGTTTAACGTATCTTAGTGCAGATCATTAGCATAGCTTACTTGTGGTAATTATCCTAGTATAGTCGCAGTGAGAGACTGAGAGACTCTGTTATTATGTGTAAATATTATGTGTAAATATTATGCAAGCTGAACTATCGGCATTCGGCGGAATCACGCTTATATAGTTCTCCGTGGTGGGCTAATCCTCATATTGTTTTTAATGGCGCGCAATTTCTTGACGAGCCGCCTTGGCCAAAGGTATGTGGTCTTTTCCAGGAAAGTTCTCGACCATATCCTGACCAAAGTAACTAAGACATGCAATGTCAGAGACCTGCAATCTCAGTTTGATAAAACTATAGTCCATATTATATGTCAACGAATACTCGGCTACTAACACTGGTTGGTATTCGCTATAAGTTGGTATTTGTACAAACAGAGCGCACACAACTGAATTAATCTATACGAATACAGAATATGCACATATTATATGCACATATTATATATCTTGGAGACCTTGCTGAGTTGAAATTATGGTGTACTGTACACAACACAGTACGACTATATCAATAAGATCGTCTACTAAAACCTAATTGTATTGTTGCTCATTGCTCACTTGCAGTTCTTAAGCATTCTACTCCGTCCAGCTACGTCTTAACATGAACAGAAGTAAAGTTTGGAATAAAATTGTTGATGAATTGTCTGCGATTTAACATAGTCGAACATTTCGAAAATAAGGACGAAATGGCGGTTTAATCCAAACGGACAGACTAACTACAAATATGTGACATGTGAAATGTTGACTTCTGACTTTTAAGATATAGAATGTGTCATGTTTGAAAGACCATTCCATTACGTATGATAGCTGATAAGCGGGGAACGGGCAGTACTAAAGATAACACAAATTTGATTGAATTTGATTTTAAACCTAGTAACGCCTAACAGATAAAGTAAGCTGCCTTGTGTCCTTTGACATATATTCGTGGATAATTGCAGTGTTCTTATTCATTGATTAAACATTATTTTCTGATTAGTATCTCTATTATCATTTATCGTTAAATTCAGAGTTGTTGATTTTTAAAAATTGCCATTTTACCGCCAATGTTTTTCTTCAATGTTGTAACGCGCGCAGACATTTTAAATATCAAAGTTCTGCGTCGACTATCCTCCAAAATGCGTTATCTTAGCTTATTTATTTACAAGCGCATTCTCAACAGATCTTTATTGTTAAAGTTGTCTTCCTAATTGCCTTCTTATTTTGTTTAATCAATATTCCATACACTAATACTAGCTAACTTAAGACACAAGTAACTTAAATTCATCTTGACTTTCAGAAACGTCTCGAAGAAGAGAAGACATCCGAATTGGAAGAGATGGACCGGAAAAACAAAAATCGTCTTGCTGATGAAATTGAGGTACTTTTTACCTAAAAACAGTTGTATTTTAGTTGAGACGGGTAGGCTTACTCTACAGAACATTCCTCTCGTATTATGTGTATGAAAACCTCCCAACCAGCGCATAGATATATTACTTTAAAACGTAGGAAGACACGCTGATTAAGGTAACATTAAACTTTAAAATATGATAAATATATACCATTCTAGAAATCAGACGAGTTACGGAGTAAAATAGATAGTCTTGCTAACGAGGTGGAAGAGTCCAGGAAGAGTCACAAAAGGACTGTCAGCGAAGCAGCAGCGCTGAGAGAGAAGGAGAGGAAACAGAACCAGATAGATGGGGAGAAGTTAGCGGTCTCACACCGAGCTGAGCTAGAGGACATCAACAAAAAACATGCTAGGGAACTGGAGAAGTTAACTCACAAAACTAACTCTAGAATTAAAATGATAGAGGAGGAGTTCGACCATCGCTTCCAACAAAACTCACAGGTATAATTACTTCAGGGGGAATCATCTTCAATCAAACGTACACAAAGGACCACATAACAACAATTTATAAGTATCTATCTGTTAAAAATTAGAATTAAATAAACTGTTTGCAGGGGCTAGAAAAGGCGCAGTCTACAGCTGATTTGGCTCAGGAGGAGACTAAGAGACAAGCGGTAATGTATGAGAGAAGTATTAAGAAGCTGTATCAGGAGATCGAGCTCGCTAAAGTAGACGAGGAACAGAGACAGCGAGGAATAGTCAAGGTGGGTCTTCCTCTATCTGATATCAGTGACCACACCAGCCTTTTAGACTGTGTAGACAGCCATATGGCTACTAGCGAAACAGTTCTACTACTTTGATGATTACTGAAACTCCTATATCCCAATGCATAGTATTTCACCATTCGACTGTTCCGGTTCTAAATATAAAATATGCGAGGAATCAGCTGACTGAAAAAACGAAATGTTTTGATACAGATTAGTTTAACGGGGGAAAAAGGTCGCTCCCACTAAATCGCTCGCCCAAATTAAAAATTTGTTGTGTGAAAAGGCTCTGAGGGTGAATGAAAACCAGCTCGGTGTATTTTTGGACGCTGATTCCGAATCACCCCATGATGTAGGGTAGAAATGCTTCCCTGTAGAGTTATGTGCAAAAAACTGTTTTAGTCACGTGAAAGGCTAGTAAAACACGAATTCGATTGTTTTGGGCTCAGGTTAGGGTTTTGGTTAGGGTTATGGATAGCTTCAGGGTTATGGTCAGGATTAGGGTTTTTGTAAAACCGTTTTGTTCGGCCGATAACCTTGGTTGAATAATAGGGCCGGTAACCTTGGTTGAGTAGTACGGCCGGTAACCTTGGTCGAGTAGTAGGGCCGGTAACCTTGGTTGGATAATAGTGCCGGTAAAGTACTCCTGTATGTTCCCAGGCATTAGAGCAGGAGGTGGAAACTCAGAGGAGTATGATTAGACACCAAGATAAGAGATGTAAGATGTTGGAGCTGGAAATGGAGGAGAAGATTACACGCACCAAACTAATCTATGAGGAGAAAATGAGGGGTGAGTTCAAACATTGTTACACTGAATGAAACTTTTCGATAAATAAAATAACTAACGTTAACCTGTCTAGTCGCCATGGTTTGACGCCTTTGTTATCATGATATATTAAGGAATAATGCAATCTGTTGCCATGGTAACCATTTTATCCCTCTAGGTGTAATGCCTCTGAGTGTAAGAGAGGAGTTAGAGGAAACCATCGCAGCTCTGAAAGCGCAGAGTACTATATTGGAACAGAAGGCTGGTATCCTACAATCGGAGTTAAATAGCAGAACTAAAAGGAACACTCCAAACAGAACTCCTAATAAGGTTTCAGCCAGAGGCAGTCCATTCCTGAAAGCTAGATAGTGTTTTTTGAAAGTTTAGATAATACCAAGATGGGACGGTTACTGTTTGAATAACAGTTAAAAGTATCGAATAGTTAGTATTTTTCATAACTGACGCACGGTTTTGATTGCGTTTATTATTGTGGACATATTTTGTATTTACTTTTTTCTATTGGTTCAGCGTATAATATCAATAAGTTACTTTAAAACTTTTGACGTATTGAGAAATAAGATTGCAATACAATTAGAATTGACTATTACCTAATTTAATTGTTTGTTTATTTTCTTTCGCGGAGCAGTCTTTGAACTTCATGGCTATGTTTAAAATCCAAGCATATTTGCAAATTTTCAGATATTGTCAACATTATGAATAAAATAAGTAAGAATACTGAGTACTGACTTTTTGGAACAAAACTGTAAGTTAAATTTCGTCGATTTAACAAACAAATATCCTGTAAATACGATTAATAAACAAACAAAAAAGAAGGAAAGAAGATTCCCGCAGAAATAACTGCGTTCTGAATCCCAATCTCTGTCCCATATTCAGTTTTTGAAGGTGAAATTTCCAGGAAATTTTCCGAAATTTTACAGTTTTGACTGAATTTCTCACCCGCAACCAATTAGTAAGTCAACTATGGGTGGCATATGACACGATTGAGGTGCTGGAAGTTTGATTTCGGTTGGAGGAAGCCCACAGCAGAAAGCTTAACAAAACGAAAAGTTGTATTTTCAAAAGTCTGTCCCATTTTCAAATATGAAATTTTCTGAACACAAATTTGACAGATTGGATGAAATTTTTGCCCAGAAACCAATCAGTCAGTTAATTGATGATGGTATGAAACCAAATTGGGATACTGGAAGTCAAAATCCTGAACAAAATTGTAAAATCATATTGTCCCAATCTCTGTCCCATTTTCAGTTTTTGAAGATGAAATTTCCAGGACCGAAATTTTACAGTTTTGACTGAATTTCTCACCCGCAACCAATTAGTAAGTCAACTACGGGTGGCATATGACACGATTGAGGTGCTGGAAGTTTGATTTCGGTTGGAGGAAGCCCACAGCAGAAAGCTTAACAAAACGAAAAGTTGTATTTTCAAAAGTCTGTCCCATTTTAAATATGAAATTTTCTGAACACAAATTTGACAGATTGGATGAAACTTTTGCCCAGAAACCAATTAATCAGTTAATTGATGATGGTATGAAACCAAATTGGGATACTGGAAGTCAAAATCCCGAACAAAATTGTAAAATCATGTCGTCCCAATCTCTGTCCCATTTTCAGTTTTTGAAGATGAAATTTCCAGGACCGAAATTTTACAGTTTTGACTGAATTTCTCACCCGCAACCAATTAGTAAGTCATCTAAGGGTGGCATATGACACGATTGAGGTGCTGGAAGTTTGATTTCGGTTGGAGGAAGCCCACAGCAGGAAGCTTAACAAAACGAAAAGTTGTATTTTCAAAAGTCTGTCCCATTTTCAAATATGAAATTTTCTGAACACAAATTTGACAGATTGGATGAAATTTTTGCCCAGAAACCAATCAGTCAGTTAATTGATGATGGTATGAAACCAAATTGGGATACTGGAAGTCAAAATCCCGAACAAAATTGTAAAATCATATTGTCCCAATCTCTGTCCCATTTTCAGTTTTTGAAGATGAAATTTCCAGGACCGAAATTTTACAGTTTTGACTGAATTTCTCACCCGCAACCAATTAGTAAGTCAACTATGGGTGGCATATGACACGATTGAGGTGCTGGAAGTTTGATTTCGGTTGGAGGAAGCCCACAGCAGAAAGCTTAACAAAACGAAAAGTTGTATTTTCAAAAGTCCGTCCCATTTTCAAATATGAAATTTTCTGAACACAAATTTGACAGATTGGATGAAATTTTTGCCCAGAAACCAATCAGTCAGTTAATTGATGATGGTATGAAACCAAATTGGGATACTGGAAGTCAAAATCCTGAACAAAATTGTAAAATAATATTGTCCCAATCTCTGTCCCATTTTCAGTTTTTGAATATGAAATTTCCAGGACCAAAATTTTACAGTTTTGACTGAATTTCTCACCCGCAACCAATTAGTAAGTCAACTACGGGTGGCATATGACACGATTGAGGTGCTGGAAGTTTGATTTCGGTTGGAGGAAGCCCACAGCAGAAAGCTTAACAAAACGAAAAGTTGTATTTTCAAAAGTCTGTCCCATTTTCAAATATGAAATTTTCTGAACACAAATTTGACAGATTGGATGAAACTTTTGCCCAGAAACCAATTAATCAGTTAATTGATGATGGTATGAAACCAAATTGGGATACTGGAAGTCAAAATCCCGAATAAAATTGTAAAATCATGTCGTCCCAATCTCTGTCCCATTTTCAGTTTTTGAAGATGAAATTTCCAGGACCGAAATTTTACAGTTTTGACTGAATTTCTCACCCGCAACCAATTAGTAAGTCAACTATGGGTGGCATATGACGCGATTGAGGTGCTGGAAGTTTGATTTCGGTTGGAGGAAGCCCACAGCAGAAAGCTTAACAAAACGAAAAGTTGTATTTTCAAAAGTCTGTCCCATTTTCAAATATGAAATTTTCTGAACACAAATTTGACAGATTGGATGAAATTTTTGCCCAGAAACCAATCAGTCAGTTAATTGATGATGTTATGAAACCAAATTAGGATACTGGAAGTCAAAATCCTGAACAAAATTGTAAAATCATATTGTCCCAATCTCTGTCCCATTTTCAGTTTTTGAAGATGAAATTTCAAGGACCGAAATTTTACAGTTTTGACTGAATTTCTCACCTGCAACCAATTAGTAAGTCAACTATGGGTGGCATATGACACGATTGAGGTGCTGGAAGTTTGATTTCGGTTGGAGGAAGCCCACAGCAGAAAGCTTAACAAAACGAAAAGTTGTATTTTCAAAAGTCCGTCCCATTTTCAAATATGAAATTTTCTGAACACAAATTTGACAGATTGGATGAAATTTTTGCCCAGAAACCAATCAGTCAGTTAATTGATGATGGTATGAAACCAAATTGGGATACTGGAAGTCAAAATCCTGAACAAAATTGTAAAATCATATTGTCCCAATCTCTGTCCCATTTTCAGTTTTTGAAGATGAAATTTCCAGGACCGAAATTTTACAGTTTTGACTGAATTTCTCACCCGCAACCAATTAGTAAGTCAACTATGGGTGGCATATAAGACGATTGAGGTGCTGGAAGTTTGATTTCGGTTGGAGGAAGCCCACAGCAGAAAGCTTAACAAAACGAAAAGTTGTATTTTCAAAAGTCTGTCCCATTTTCAAATATGAAATTTTCTGAACACAAATTTGACAGATTGGATGAAACTTTTGCCCAGAAACCAATTAATCAGTTAATTGATGATGGTATGAAACCAAATTGGGATACTGGAAGTCAAAATCCCGAACAAAATTGTAAAGTCATGTCGTCCCAATCTCTGTCCCATTTTCAGTTTTTGAAGATGAAATTTCCAGGACCGAAATTTTACAGTTTTGACTTTTGACTGAATTTCTCACCCGCAACCAATTAGTAAGTCAACTAAGGGTGGCATATGACACGATTGAGGTGCTGGAAGTTTGATTTCGGTTGGAGGAAGCCCACAGCAGAAAGCTTAACAAAACGAAAAGTTGTATTTTCAAAAGTCCGTCCCATTTTCAAATATGAAATTTTCTGAACACAAATTTGACAGATTGGATGAAATTTTTGCCCAGAAACCAATCAGTCAGTTAATTGATGATGGTATGAAACCAAATTGGGATACTGGAAGTCAAAATCCTGAACAAAATTGTAAAATCATATTGTCCCAATCTCTGTCCCATTTTCAGTTTTTGAAGATGAAATTTCCAGGACCGAAATTTTACAGTTTTGACTGAATTTCTCACCCGCAACCAATTAGTAATTCAACTAAGGGTGGCATATGACACGATTGAGGTGCTGGAAGTTTGATTTCGGTTGGAGGAAGCCCACAGCAGGAAGCTTAACAAAACGAAAAGTTGTATTTTCAAAAGTCTGTCCCATTTTCAAATATGAAATTTTCTGAACACAAATTTGACAGATTGGATGAAATTTTTGCCCAGAAACCAATCAGTCAGTTAATTGATGATGTTATGAAACCAAATTAGGATACTGGAAGTCAAAATCCTGAACAAAATTGTAAAATCATATTGTCCCAATCTCTGTCCCATTTTCAGTTTTTGAAGATGAAATTTCAAGGACCGAAATTTTACAGTTTTGACTGAATTTCTCACCCGCAACCAATTAGTAAGTCAACTATGGGTGGCATATGACACGATTGAGGTGCTGGAAGTTTGATTTCGGTTGGAGGAAGCCCACAGCAGAAAGCTTAACAAAACGAAAAGTTGTATTTTCAAAAGTCCGTCCCATTTTCAAATATGAAATTTTCTGAACACAAATTTGACAGATTGGATGAAATTTTTGCCCAGAAACCAATCAGTCAGTTAATTGATGATGGTATGAAACCAAATTGGGATACTGGAAGTCAAAATCCTGAACAAAATTGTAAAATCATATTGTCCCAATCTCTGTCCCATTTTCAGTTTTTGAAGATGAAATTTCCAGGACCGAAATTTTACAGTTTTGACTGAATTTCTCACCCGCAACCAATTAGTAAGTCAACTATGGGTGGCATATGACACGATTGAGGTGCTGGAAGTTTGATTTCGGTTGGAGGAAGCCCACAGCAGAAAGCTTAACAAAACGAAAAGTTGTATTTTCAAAAGTCCGTCCCATTTTCAAATATGAAATTTTCTGAACACAAATTTGACAGATTGGATGAAATTTTTGCCCAGAAACCAATCAGTCAGTTAATTGATGATGGTATGAAACCAAATTGGGATACTGGAAGTCAAAATCCTGAACAAAATTGTAAAATCATATTGTCCCAATCTCTGTCCCATTTTCAGTTTTTGAAGATGAAATTTCCAGGACCGAAATTTTACAGTTTTGACTGAATTTCTCACCCGCAACCAATTAGTAAGTCAACTAAGGGTGGCATATGACACGATTGAGGTGCTGGAAGTTTGATTTCGGTTGGAGGAAGCCCACAGCAGGAAGCTTAACAAAACGAAAAGTTGTATTTTCAAAAGTCTGTCCCATTTTCAAATATGAAATTTTCTGAACACAAATTTGACAGATTGGATGAAATTTTTGCCCAGAAACCAATCAGTCAGTTAATTGATGATGTTATGAAACCAAATTAGGATACTGGAAGTCAAAATCCTGAACAAAATTGTAAAATCATATTGTCCCAATCTCTGTCCCATTTTCAGTTTTTGAAGATGAAATTTCAAGGACCGAAATTTTACAGTTTTGACTGAATTT